TCCCTCTCTCTCTCTGACAAATAAATAAATAAAATCTTTAAAAATAAAATAAAATAAAATAAAAAAATAAAAAAAAAGAATAAAAATAAATGCATGTTAAGAATGAAGAGATTTATCAGAGAATATGTAAAAACTTAGGAAGAAACAGTGTGGATAATTGAGATTTATGCATATTAAGATTTTTAGGAAGAAACTAATTTCTGGGAAAATATGTAACCAGATTTGAATAAAGAAGAGAAAAAAAATCAAAGGTAGATTTAAAAAATTGTAAAAACTGGCAAAGAATTACTCTCTACGTGGTACCAGGCCTGGAGGTTTTATGGGCAAATTATTTAAACACTTGCAGAGTAGAGGAAGAGATGGAAAGTATACTGCTTTGTTTGTTCAAGTTAGTACAAATTTGGTACAAAAACTGCTAAGGGTATATTGAAAAAAAAAAAAAAACCCACAACTATGAACCGAATTTCATTTGTCAGTATAAGACACTAAATACAAGTTTTAGCAAACCAAATGAATAGTTACACATAATGATCGCAAGACTAAGTGGCTTAACATTAGAAAATCTGTTAATGTAATTAATTAACCAAAGGAGAAAGCCTGTGTGACAAAAATTCATTTCAGTTAGTAAACTTTAAAAATAAATCTTTATAAACTAATAATAGAACTGGATTTCCTTAACAGAGACAGAACGAATGCTGGACCTGCCCATCAGCACCTGACAGAATGGGGACCGGTGGTCGGGTCCGGTCTCCACTGGGGGCGGGGGGAGGGGTAAGGCTCGGTCTCACACTCACTCAGCAACACTGTGTGACTTCTACCCATGGCAGTAAAGGGGAGGGAAGGAGGCATAATTACTACTGAAAGGAAGAGAGTAAAAAAAAGGACGATGAAATTAACATTTCATAAACAATTTGCAGATGATGTGACGATCTCTCTGAAAAACTGAATCCAATCCATGGAAGGTCTTCCCGGAGACTAAGAGCCATTTAGAAAAGAGCCAAGAAGAAAATGAAGAAGAAAGAAAGAAAAGAAAAGAAAAATCACAATATGAAAAATACCCTTTTGTAAAGAGAGCAATGTTGCAGCATACGTGTTAAAAATATTAACATGAGGGGCGCCTGGGTGGCTCAGTCGTTAAGCGTCTGCCTTCGGCTCAGGTCATGATCCCAGAGTCCTGGGATCGAGCCCCGCATCGGGCTCCCTGCTTAGTGGGAGGCCTGCTTCTCCCTCTGCCTGCTGCTCCCCCTGCTTGTGCGTGTGCTCTCTCTCTCTTTAAAAAAAAAAAAAAATATATATATATATATATATATATATATATATATATATATATATAAACATGAAATACATGAGAGCGCTTGAACTGCAGGATAATGTTGAGGGGCATGTGGGAGCCATTTAACTGGAGCATCACGCATGGTCTTTAATAGGAAGCTTTAACATTACAGACATTTTAGTTCATGCCAAACCCGGGTGTAGATTTGCTACCATTTCAGTAATTGTGCCACTGACATTTCTTTCAAGTGAAAGTTAATTCTGAAATTCATATGGGCCAATAAATATAAAAATAGCCAACAAAATCCTGATAAGCAGAGTATTGAGGAAAAATTGCCATACCAAACCTGAAAATGTGTATGTTAAAGCCTGAATAATTAAAATGTGATAAATTGAACTTAAAAGTCAAATTATTGAACCAAAGACCTACAAGAGACCCAAGTCTCTTTAGAAATGTGCTGTGTGGTGAAGGAAGCATTTCAGTTAGTGGGAAAAGGAAAAAATTAGTCAGCAGTACATCATTTGAGGACAACTGACTAATCGTTTGGGAAAACATGAAGTCAAACATATAAAAAATAAATTTCAGATTTATTAAAGATAAATATGAAACTTTAAAACTACTCTATGAAAATGTGGGTGAATATTTTCCATAACTGTAGGGTAGAGGTCATTTCAGAGAATGAACCCCAAAGGCAGGAACCAGAGAGTAAAAACTGACACTTTGGATTCTATGTACTTTAATCATATTCTATATAAAAAGCAAACAGAGAAAATACTTTATAGGAAACACACTTAGTAAGAAACTTGCCTGGGACCCATATATTCTTACTATGTAAGGAAAGTTTCAAAATCCATGAGGGAAAAACCCCAGACAGATCTTTAGTATAGCAAATGTCTTCCCAGGCTGTCCATAAAGGAACAAATGGAAAACAAGTCTGAATCAGATGAAATAAAAGAAAGGCAAGTATAACTGATAGTCAAGTACCGTATATGTTCTTCAAACCAGCGATTTCACTTCTAGGAATTTGATAGGAAGGAAGCTCTCGTTATCCTCAGAGACTTTTCTGGAAGGATGTGTACAGTTGCATTACTGAGGCGAGCAGTGAGCTGGGGCACCACATGGTGGAGAACCATAGAGATGGGTTGGATGAAGGACAGTGCATCCGTAGGAAGAAAGCATGAAAGACAGATGTTCTAACATATTGAAAGATTTTCCCAGCAAGTTCTACAGTTTCCAAAGCAGGTTACAAAACAATATAAGGGAAAAAAAAAAAGCATCTCATTATATATATAGACACACAGTAAAGGGCATAAAGAGTATTAACATAATTAAGGTTAATTTTAACACTTTTATTTTTCTAATTTCAACACTTGCTCCAGAAAGACTGGACAGATATATACCAAAATGTTGCCTTTGATATATTTTTTTTCTTTTAAGATTTTATTTATTTATTTGACAGAGATCACAAGTAGGCAGAGAGGCAGGCAGAGAGAGAGGGCGAAGCAGGCGCCCTGCTGAGCAGAGAGCCCGATGCCGGGCTCGATCCCAGGGTCCTGGGATCATGACCTGAGCTGAAGGCAGGGCTTTAATCCACTGAGCCACCCAGGAGCCCATATATATATATATATGTGTATATATATATATATATATATATATATATATATATATTTTTTTTTATGGGACTTTGGAATGGCTTCTTACTCCCTTCAATGCCACCTTTTTTTTCCCCCAAAATCATTTTTTTTTACCAGTATTGTTGAGATATAATACACACATCATCAAATCTTCAGTAAACCCGAACTTCCTTAAAGGACCGGGTTCTTTACATGCCTCCATCACCCACTTTGAGTGTTTCGTTATTTGGATTTTGGTGCATCCAGATGGTTTTGCAGCTGTCAACAAAATTAGTTTTAGGATACTTCTGTCACTGCAATAAGGAACTCCATACACAACGACAGCTAGTCCCCTTCCTCCCCAAGTTCTAGGCACCTGCTTTCCATATCTATGGACGTGCATTGTCTGGACATTTCCTATAGACTCATGGGATGTGTGATCTTTCGTGTCTGCCTTTTTTCCCTCCCTGCAATGCTGTTGAGGTTCACCCACGCTGTAGTGCGAATCACACTCCCTATTTGTGACTGGAGACCATTCCATTGTATGGAGTTACCCATTTTGCTCATCCACTCATCAGTGGGTTTTAGATGTTGGGGGGGCTATTGTGAATAGTGCTGCCGTGAGCGCTCCTGTACAGGTTTTGTGTGGACAGATGTTTTTATTTCTCTTGGATGTACCACTTGGGGTGGAAAGGCTGGGTCATATGGTGGACCAGTGGTTAGCCTCATGACGGAGCTGCCAGACTGACTTCCAGAGCCCTGGCGCCATTTTACATTCCTGCCAGTGGTGTACGGGGCTCTAATTTCTCCACGTCTTTACCAACACTTGTTATTGCCTTTTTTTCTGTCAGAGTCATCATGAGAGGTGTGAGGTGATATCTCCCTACGGTTTTGATTTGCACTCCCCAGTGAGTCATGACGCTGAGCTTCTCTCCATGTGCTTATTAGTCATCTGTGCATCTTTTTTGGAGTAACATTCAGATCCTTTGCTCATTTTTACTTGGAAATATCTGTCTTTTTATTGCTGGGGCCTAAGTCAAAACTGTGTTTAGAGATCATGTATTACTTGAGAGTACTACACAAGGGGTGCTTGGAAAATAGAGGAAATTCAGACATCCGGGTGATAACCTAAAGATTGCCCGGTACCACCCAGCCAGAGGCGGTGGGTCGGAATGGAGTGTGATCCTCATTCTTTCCTCCTGTTGACGCCCGTGCCCGCCCCTTCTTCCCGCCACTCATCCGCAGCTGCCTCCCACGTTCCCCAGCACTTAGATCTGGGCAGCGGCTCGCCGGGAGTGTGTCGAGGCCACCTAGACGGACATGTCCTCTGGCCTCATCCCATTCCTGGAGAAGTGGAGCCCAGTGTCCTGAGAGACACTGTGAGGTGTTGGGCAGCATGAAAGGTGCTTACCTCCCTATAACTGTTATAACCAACTGCAGATGCTCGAAACCTTGCACCGTGAGCGACCGAATGCCAGGCCCTACTGCCCAGAGCAGAACACTCTTTCCTGACCAAAGAACATGGAGGATTGTTTTAACCAAGTCCCGCCCACCCACAGCACTGGTTTTCTTTTCCTTTTTTTTTTAAATACTTTGTTTTTAAGTCATCTCTACATCCAACATGGGGCTCAAACTCACAACCCTGATATCAAGAGTTGCAGGCTGCCCTGACAGAGGCAGCCAGATGGTCCCATAGAGCACTGTTTATCAGTCCTGAGTAACCATCACCCATTTCTCCTTTTAGCCCCTGTAAAGGAAGTATTTTCATAACCGGAAATGCCCACTTACACCTCTTCCTGAGATTTCTTTTGTAGCTCGATGTGTTGGCCAAATTTTGCAAATGTGTAAATGAGTCATGGGCATCTCATCTTCCTTGAGCTCCTCTGCCCCGTGCACAGATGCCCAGGCTCCAGTCCCCAGGAAGTTATTGGAGGCGTCAGGCAGAGAGGGGAGCCGGGCAGGAGTGGGCATCGGATAATTCACTCGCTTCCTTCCAGACCCCGAGTGCGCCGTGTGGATCTGCATTTTGGTTTCACAGATAAATATCCAGGATGCTCTTTCCCCTTTGCTGCCCACCTTGGGCACGTCGCTGACACTGGCTTTTCTCATTCCAGGAATGACTATCCCCGAGGAGGACGCCGAGGTGGGGCAGGGCAGCAAGTACTGCCTCGTGGCCATCGGAAGACTCCAGGTGAGGGCGAGGGCACGGCTCTCTGCAGGGCCAGAGAGGGACTTGCGATTCCAGGGAGCAGGTGCATGCAGCTCTGCCCACTCTGACCCCTGGGTGCCCAGCGTTCTCTGGCTTCCGGTCCCTGTCTGCACAAGGGTGAGGCTGGATCTGGGAGAGCACAGGGAGACACGTGGTGAACCATGGAGTCCTTGCTATACAGAGGGCCCCACTCAGTCCATTCCCGCTCGGGTGCCAGCCACGGCAGAGTCAGTCTCTGCTCCCAGGGCAGCCGGCCGATCACCTTGAACGCTTCCCCTAGGTCCTCAAGATGAAGCACTAAGTCCTCCTCCAGCCTCATCCCTCCCGTCCCCCTCGTGCTTGATTCCCACACTCCAGTAAGCCTTTTCTGCAGACCCAGCTGGCTCCTCCCCAACCTGTGGGCCCCGCGGGCTGTTTCAGCTGTCTGCTGTTCCCGGTTCCCTTCCCACCCCCCCTCCGCCCTTCACTCATATTTATGCCTCCTCCAAGGTCTCGCTGGGGGGACGCCTTTATCCACGTCGTCGAAATCAGTAGTTCCCTCTTCCTTGCACTTCTGCAATGAGCTCACCCGTCAGCTTTCCTTCCTTATAGCCCGTCTTCTTAGCTGAGGGTGTGCCCCTTCCCTGGAAGCTCTCCTCCCAAAGCCATGTGGGAAACATGGCTTTTTAATCTCGTGAAAATGAAATGTGCCACATCATGTCCTTAAAGCCCACGGGCTCGGTGTCTGGCATGCACGGTAGCCACTCAGTGGGCTGGGCCCCTCTTCGTTTGCCCTGTGGCCCTGCCAGCCCTTCCTCTGCCGGCAGTGTGTGCCCAGAGCAAACTAGCCTGTCATGCTTCTGGGTCCTAGTTCCTTCCACCCTCAGATAAATGAATAAGAGGTTTTATTTGCACGTGATAAGCATGGCTTATTCCGTACAGGTGGGTGAAGTGCATTCGCTCTGCAAATGTCGGCTTTGCGAATACGTTGACCAGTTCCTCAGGCTCCTCAGTAAGGGGACAGTGGGAGGAGGGAAGGGTGTTAGCGTTCCCAAGCACCAGCAACGTGCCAGGCGTTGTGCCGGGGTTTGGTGTGCAGAATCTCGCCCCACCCTCTGAGATACACGGTTCATGATTCCCACTGCCTGATAAGGACACGGGCCCCCAGCAGTGCAAGGCAGCGCATGGTGGCCGTTAGTGGGAGGTGTGGCCAGTGCTCTTTGAACACTGGGGCTCGGATCTGTGACATAGACACCACGTGGATTCTTCCCATCATCTCTCGTGCCCCCCCATCTCTGTCTCCATCAGAAGCACCTCAGTGTGGCTGTCCCCTTTCCAGGTGACCAGCTCTCCCGTGTGCATGGACATGAGTGGGATGTCAGTGCCCACGGAGTTCTTATCCCGGCACAACTCTGACGGGATCATCACGTTCGTGGACCCGAGATGCATCAGCGTGATCGGCTACCAACCCCAGGTAGGCGGTTCGCAGCCCATGGCAGTCGGCTAGAGATGTAACTTCACTTACGATGCACTTGTCTCATTTCTTTGAGAGCCAGCGGATGACAGCGGACGGCACACGGCGTAAAAATCCAGCTTGCTGCCTGGAGACAGCTCTGTCCTTCCAAAGCAAGAAAGGCGTTAACTCTTACAATTAACTCTTCCGTTTTTTCCCTAACCCTCCCTCCTGTCTCACTGGTTGTTCACAAACCAGAGTTAAGACGCTCCGTGGGAATCGCTGAACTTAGATGAACAGCAGACAGGACATCTTCTTGCAAACCTCAAAACCGAGATTAATGTGAAGGGCTCTGAAATGTTTTGAAGGATGCCCACTTATTTTTGCCTAATCCCTTGTTTCTCGAATGTGTTTGGAACTTGCGTCTATAGGGGCACAGTTTCAGGTCTCTGTTCCAGACCCTTTTTTTTTTTTTAAAGTCAGCATTATAAGAAACACCAAAAGGCAGGAGAAATTAATGTAGATGAAAATAAACCAAAGAGAAGTGCACCTGGGTGGCTCAGTGGGTTAAGCTTCTGCCTTCGGCTGTCATGATCTCAGGGTCCTGGAATCAAGTCCTGTGTCGGGCTCTCTGCTCGGCGGGGAGCCTGCTTCCCCCTCTGCCTGCCACCCCCCCTGCCGTGTGTGCGCACGCGCTCACTCTCTCTCTCTGTCAGATAAAAGACTAAAACCTTAAAAAAAGAATAAACCAAAGAGAAAATCACAGTATGTGTTATGAGAGCTTTCAGCAGGCCCCGGGGCTGAGGACAGGTAGCCAGAGGAGACATTTGGGAGATAATCGAAGGAAGGTTAATACGTGTGGAATATCGGGTGATTTAATCGAACAATTATTTTTTTTTTTTAGGTGTAATACGGAATGTTAAGGTTTGGGAGGATATTCTTTTTTTAAGATACACACTTTGGAGACGGGCGTCCTCCTGTCTCCTTCTTCCAAATGATTCAGAGATTTTTCAGTGTGTCTGTAGATACGAAAGATTTTTCATTTGTGTACACTTCCGTGGCTTTCATTTACATATGTTCATATTCACACGCATCCGAAAGATAGGAAAATGCAGAGGCAACCGTGTAGGGACAGGATATTCAGGGGTTTTTCACATGATCCTTTCAGCTTTTACATAGATTCAAATTTCTCCCAAAATAAAAAACCTTTAAAAAAAGAAAGGAAGGAAAATATCTCTGTTCTGAGGAACAATGCTGGGACACGTCGATGTGGGCACTTCAAGCACACGTATTATCTGAGAGCTAGAAACAGTCCAGGGGCGCCCCGCCGGCTCCGGCCAAAGAGCGTGCAGCCCTTGATGTCAGGGTGGTGAGTTCAAGCCCCATGTTGGGTTAGAGACTACTTAAATAAATAAACCTTCGAAAAAGAAAAGACCTAGAAACTGTCCAACTTGAAATAGGGAACCATGAGAGTAATTATACATCTCCAGTTTGATGCAAATTTGAGATTGTTGGAAGGAGTGAGGGGGACACGAATTCCAAAGTCACCGTCACCTTGGCCGGCGGTGTTTCCAGATTTGATTATGCACCAGCACCTCCAAGCTTCGAGATGCTTCTTGGTGCACAGATGAGACCCGCTGCCCACGTCCGTGTCCGCTCCTGTGGAGGCTGTCACGGGTTTGGGTTCTGGCCAAAAAGGTCATTTTTCTCCTTGGCTGCCTGAGACTCATCCACGGGACCCCTTTCCCGTCCCCTGCATGGAGCTGCCTTGCGATGGTTTATCTGAGTCTGGCTGGTTTTTGTCCTGGGTTTGTGCCAGGTGCTCTGAGTAAGAAGTGGGTGACGGTCAGTACGGTTACCGTGGGGTCCCAGCACCTGTCCAGCCCCGAGAACATCCGTGGCCGCATTTCAGCAACTGCAGGCCTGTCTGTGCTCGTGCTATTGTTTGCTTTCTTTTTATGTTTATTACAGTATGTTTGCTGCGGTTTGCCTCTCAAAGGCAAACGGAAACGAAATCACCCTCTGGCGGTGCTGGTCCAGGGCCCCAACGAGATCGGAGTGGGCGGGAGCGCCCAGGACGGCAGGCGGGGCATTGAAGCCAGCCCCCTCACAGCCCCAGGGACATCCTGCGTGCTGGGGGACCGAGGGACATGGGCGAAGGGGGTCCAAGGACGTGGCCGTCCGACGGTGATGCATCCGCCACGGGAATCACGGGGTCTCACGGCTTGTCTCTTTCTTCAGGATCTTCTAGGGAAGGACATTCTGGAATTCTGCCACTCCGAGGACCAGAGCCACCTGCGCGAGAGCTTTCAGCAGGTACCGCCTGCGCTCGCTGTCAGCTGCTGCGGCACCGGGGGCCTGGGCAGGTGGCCGGCGGGACACACCAGGCAGGCTGCAGGAGGCTACCCCAGGCATTGGTCAGGGGCCTGGCTGCCAGGGCTCCCAGTTGAGGGGGAGGGGAGACCCATTGGGAAGCCATGCCTGTGTCCAAAGGGTGGACGATGGGGAGGTCAGGGGTGTGGGGAGGAAGCAGGGAGGGTCTCCCGGGGGAGGGAACTAGGGACAGGATGAGCCTGCTCCTGACAGAACATTCCAGATGGGTGGCCGGCACCCAGAGAGGCGGAAGGACGTGGCCTATTGAGGAGTCACATGTAGCCCCTTGGTCTGAAGTGACACTTACCACTGGGCGGTGGGGGGGGCCCACAGTAGAGGCTGCTGAGCCCCCCGGAGGGGCGGACGTCCTCCCCTCGTCATTTCCGGGAGGGCTCCGCCGAGGACCATGAGCTGAGCAGTGGGTCTGAGAGACAGCGCGGGTACACAGGGAGCAGGTGTGGGGAACCCCAGGAACAGAGGTGCTGTGGGAAGCTGTGGACGGTCCAGGGAGGAGAGGACAGGTGGGGGCGCAGACTGAGGTGACCATTGTTGGCTTGGTGGCGCTCTAGGCGGGGACAGCGAAGGGGAGCTGGGAGGGAGGCTGCCTGTCACTGAGTCGTTCAGTGTCACCCCGTCCCCACTGTGATGCCCGGTGCTGAGCACCTGCTCTGTGTTGTGCTCGGGCCCCACAGACACCTGTGTGCGTCCCGCGTGCTCGTCCTGGGGGGGCATCGTCGCCGTCAAGTCATGGGAGAGAAAGCGGAGCCTCGAGGAAGTAGGAGCGCCTAAGACCACACAGTGGGCGCGTGAGGACCGGGAGTCTGAGGGCCTGTCGCCTCCTGGGCCCACGCTCGGCCGTGACGGCAGAGAACGAGTTCCTCCTCTGAGACCTTGGGGGGGCTCACAGGAGCCCCAGGAAAGAGAGGACCAGGCCGTGTTACAGGACACGGGCCTTGGAGATCTGTTCTAGGAGGGACTGATAGTCTGTCAGTCGTCTGATGGGTCAGGCCCTTGATGGCCAGCTCGACATCTGCTGCTCTGTTCGCGCCCCGTGTCGGGTGGTCTCTGAGCCCCCCGCCTGCCCCTTGGGCTCGTCCCTGCCCGCTTTCCCCCCTTCTCCCTGCAGTGTCTCCCTCAGCAGCTTCATCCGGGGACAGCACAGACTGTCACTGACATTCCATTCCTGCCACACCTGCTCCGAGCACCCGCGGCCTCCAGAGGCTTGCCCGTCCTGTCCATGTCTCCCTGTGCCCCCCATGGACCCCTCCTGCCCCCCGTGCCCCCTACTTCCACAGGCCCAGAGCCGAGACACAGTTGGCCCCCCTCCTCTGGTCTAGGTGCCCCCGTGCAGCCCTCACGTCCTCTTGTCCCCAAAAGGCACGTGCCGCTGGCCCCTTCTCCCTGTGCTCCTTCCCACCAACCTTGACCAGGCCGCCCCCCTGTCATCTTCAACAGCGCGGCGGTGTCCTTGCCGGGCTCCCTGCTTGGCTCCTGCCCACCCCACGCCATTTGAGAGACACGAATTCAGCTCTGCCACATCTTTGCGTAAACGTGCCCGCGGCTTCCCAGTGCCCCGGAATCTGATCCAAGCTCCGTACCACTGCTGCCAGCCCAGGGTGACCCCTGCTGCATGTGTGTTACCCACACTCGTTCATGGCCCATGGGCACATGGGTCTTTTGGTGCCTTGAGCACATCATGCTATTTCCCACCTCAGGGCCTTTGCACATGTTCCTCTGGACTAGAATGCTGTCCCCTCACTCTTCCCAGACGGATGTCTTCTTATTGATTAGGTTTTAACTCCTGCCCTCTCAGAGTTGCCGTCAATGGCCATGCTAGTGAAGAAAGCCCCCTACCCACCTTCTCAGCCTCCTGTTTTCCCTACAGAACAGCTCCAGTTGGTAATTGTTTCTCCACTGATTTCCCTTTCCCCCCATCCTGTCTACTGACACATCAGCTCCCTGCGGGCAGGTCCCACGTCTGGTGCCCACCGCCGCGTGTGCAGCCTGCTCGTGGGTGAGCGGCCCGGGGAGAACGCGGTCTAGGGGGTCGGCGACTTTCATTCTGGAACAGTGTGAACGGAGAACCGTGAAGCATGGCCAGAGTGTGTCCTTCATGCCTCATCTTTGCCAGTGTGTGGAGATTTTGCTACACGGTGGCCTGGGCCGGCTTCCCTCTTGTGGGTCTGTGGGAACGAAGCTCTGGCAGCAATGGGCGTCCCTCCGCGGCCGGTGACCAGGCAGAACCCTGGTCGCACACGGTCTCACGTGGTCCTCTGCGCTCACCATCCGTTGTCAGCCCCACTCTTCACGGTGGACCGTGGGACGCAGAGAGCTTTGGTCGCCTGCCCTGAGACCCTCAGCAGGGCATTAACAGAGCGAGGGCCAGAGCTGCCTGCTTCCAGCACGTTCTCCTGTCGCCGATCACACAGGCCTCTCCGTCGGACTGCACAGCGATGCCAGCAGAAGCTGGGTGGTTCTGGACAGAAACAGGAGGAACGTTACCCCCGATCCCATGGCGCCGGCTCACAGACCTCTCACCCCAGGGTGCGACCAGCCCACGGCAGGCAGGACACGAAGCTGGAGCCGCGCCTGAGAGCCAAGGGCCCCCGTGGTTGCAGCGCTCAGCGGGCGGGGGCCAGGCGGCCACAGAGACATCCTGGAGCACCAGCCTCGGCCCCTCGTGTGTGTTCTTTGGGCCCCAGCCACTGGGGGACGAATGTTGATAAAGGGAAGTGGCTTGTTTTTGCCAAGCGCCGAGGGAGCTGTGTCAGCCCGCGTCAGCCCGTGTCAGCCTGTGTCAGCCTGGAGTCAGCCTTGGAACTCTCTGGATTGAAACCAGAGCATTTGCGTGGCCCGGACATGAGACCCTCAGAGTGCCGTCAAGTTCCTGAGGAATTTGGGTTGGGTGGGGTGACCTGTGCCCACGCGGGGACACGTGTCTGCCCTTGGCTCACTCCCGGACCCCCGCTGGCTTGCATTTCTCTTAGCCACGTGGAAGGGTGCGACCCAGAGAGACCCAGACCCAGGAGGGCACGATGCAGGGACCCCGGTGTGGCCCTGCCCCACCCGAGCCTCCGGCCTCCGCACGCACTGGGTTCCCGTGCACAGAGTGTGTGCCTCCTGCCAGGGAGCCTCACTCGCCGACCACGTCCCCACCTCCCTGCCCTCTGGGGACTTCCGCCCCCCCCCGAGGAACCCTCTCTGGACCCCGCGGTGTCCTCTTGACGGTGTGGCTCTGAGCTGGGGCTTGGCCTGCTGGGTCTGGGCTCCTCCTCGGCTGAAGGTGCACCTGGAGACGGTGGGCCGTGGGGTCAGGCGATTCAGATCCTGGTCCTGCCTTGGGCACGGCTTAGTCAGGAGGCCTTGGTGGCACGTTTAACTCCATCAGGGCTCAGATGCCAGATGTGCACAGTGCCCTAGGGAGGCCCACACGAGGTGACCTGGGACACGCACTTAGCCGGAACCGGGCCCCGGGAGGGTGCGGGGCTGCTGCTCCCTCCCGCTGCTCCTTCTCCCGCCCGAGGGCCCAGCTTCATGCACAGATGGCGCCTTGGCAAGTGTCTGCCGCTTGGAAGCTAAGGGGTCCCCCACTGTCTCAAGTGTTCCGTGAGGACAGACACTTGTGTGTGGCATCTTCAGGGAGCCCAAGGACACAGGTCTCAGAGGGAGCAAGGTGACCACCGGTTTTCCCTGTGTCTTGTCCCACAGGACCCCCTCAGAAATGGTGACCTCAGGGGCATGTGGCCTGGAGTGCCAGTCCTGGGAGGAAAGAGCCAGCTTCCTGCTGGGACCACTGCGCCTCCGGGCCTCGCCTCACCCAGCGTGTACATCCTTCTGGGCGCTGGTGTGGTTTCCTTATCATGCAGGCTCTCCGCCAGGGAGTCCAAGCCCCAGGTTTCATTCCATCCGGCTTCCCCAGGGGCGCTGCTGAAAGAGGGTGGGCGCCCAGGCTGTGTCAGCCCCGCTCATGGGGCCAGAAGTCCCGTCGAGAATTCAGAGACGGTGCTCCATGTGCCCCCTTCATGCCAAGCTTGGGGCTGAGGGCGGGAGGAGAGGGACAGGACTCTCTGTCCCTGTCCCTAGGCTGTTCACAGACATTCAGCCGGAAATAAACTACAAGTCACGGAGTTAAGGAGGAGGGACGGGCGCTCCCTGACCCTGGGGCCAGGGCCCTGTTCTTATCTCTGATCATACTTTGGAGTCATGGTCAGTAAGCCCAGCTGCCCCAAGCCCAGAGCCTTCTCTGTCCTGAGCAACCCCAAGATCTGGAGAACACAGGCCTGCAGAGAGGAGAGCCCCGCCGCCTTGCTTTGTCCTGGGACTATGTTCACACCGAGCCTCCGCCCACCCTCCAGCCATTCGCAGCCGCTCCTGTTTCTGCTGCAACCTGGAGAGCTGCCAGCCGAGCGTGCCTTCTGGCCTGCGCGTGCACCGTGCACACCCCGGCTGCCCCTGCGCATGCACACCCACAGCTCGGCATCTTCTTGTGCCCAGATCGTGTGTGTCTGCAGGGAGAACAAGGGCAGGCAAAACACATTGTAGTTTGGAAGCAAGACCTTGGTTCCTTCCCAGCTTTTCCAGCAGCGTTGTCTGACCTTGGGCGGCTTACTTACTTTCTCTAGGACTTGGTATTAAACCTTTGTAAACAGTCACACCCCGGTGAGGATGGACGTTGGGAAGCGGTTTGGAAGCCCTGCTGTGGCATAGACACGGGGTTACGGACGTGAGGTAGGAAGCAGCAAGTGCCCCGATACGATGTAACCACACACCTAACGTGGGCGGCGGAGGAGTAGGGCGCTGCTGATATCAGACCAGAGCAACCTAGCCGCCCGGCCGGAGAGGGGGGCACTCGGCGTATAGAGGGTCATGAGCCATTTGAAAAAGCTGAGAGGTCCGGGTACAAGGCAGGTGTCGCTGAGCGTGTGGCAGAGTGCGGGGCGGTTCCAGAGATGGAGAAGCGCCCCCAGCCGCGCTCGTTCCCTGTCCCTGTCCTGCCGGCCCCACCGAGCACCCGTTCTGAGCCCCCAGGGGCTTCGCCCGCCGCCGGGCACTGACCTCCTTCCACCGGTGTCTCCGCAGGTGGTGAAGCTCAAGGGCCAGGTGCTGTCAGTCATGTACCGGCTGCGCACCAAGACGCGCGAGTGGATGCTGATCCGCACCAGCAGCTTCACGTTCCAGAACCCCTACTCCGACGAGATGGAGTACGTCATCTGCACCAACACCAACGTCAAGTACGTGCTTGCCGTGCATCCCCCGCCCCCGGCCAGGTCTGGGCACTTTTTCTGAGTCCGGGGCTGGAGCTCTCTCTCCCCATGGGCTCCGGCGCCCCCACAGCCGGTGGTCCCCACGGGACCTGAGGAGCAGGCCTGGGGCAGAGGGGGGCTGTGTGCCGCGTCACGGCTTCCCCTCCCTTGCCCTGCCACGCTCCTGCCCCTGCTTCCCAAGCCTGAGGGACGGCCCCCATGGCTGCCCCCCACCAGCCTCGATGCAGGTGTCCTGTTTGCTGGGCCTCGCTCTACCCCCGGCACGCAGAGCCCAGCAGGGCCAAGCCAGGTGCCCTCCGGCTACAGGCATCCCTGCTGCGAGGGCCTGATTTCTTGGCCCTTTGGAAGCAGGGTCGGGGAGCAAGGCTGGGGGGTGGCCACGTAGGGACACACGGGCCCCCTGCTGCTCGGTCATCCACACACGTTCCTCCGGCTCCAGGCCCCATGGTCCCAGCTCACCACTTCCCCAGTGTGCGGGCATGTTCGCCCAGAGCTTGGGCTCCAGGCTCGACCCCGCTTCCTGTGACCCGGAATTGTGTGTCGGGTCACCTCTCAGAGCTCACTGTCCCGTCCATGCAAAGGGGTGTGACAGCGCTTCCGTGGGGCTGCTGTGAGGCTGGAGGTCAGGCTCCCAGCTACAGGCAGGTCACCCTTCCTCCCGGGATTTGTTCTCAAGGGACGCAAGGGCGGAGAACCAGCATGATCAAAGGCAAAATGATGTCCAAGGCTACATGAGCTGGTGTCAGGGCCCCACCACGTGCCGGGGCATGAGAGGAGCTGCCGTCAAACTGTTCCTCTGTGCCCACGTGGGTCAGTGACGTTGCTGTCCTGTCTTCCCATGCCCAACTCTGACAGGTGTCACCCCCGCCATCTCCCCTCCTCTTCTGACAGCCGTCCCAGTGATGGTGCCCCGGTTGGCGACCACAACTTGCCGGCTTGCTCAGGGCTCTGGCCCCATTGTGTCTCTCAGCTGCCTGGATTGGGGCGTTCCCCTCAGGGTGCCCCGGCCTCCTCCCCGGGCAGTCCCACCCTGTGTCTCAGCCTCAGCCCTGCTCCTGGCCCACAAGGCCCTGAGCTGGACAGTCTGGTCCACTCATGCGAGGCTCCTTGGCACGGCTGACCCGGGTTTTGATGCCGGCCCCCGCTGGACAGGTCGCCGTGCTGTCCAAGGCTCAGTTGCCTTGTCTGGAAAGTGGGGAGAACAGCCTTGTGCCTAGGGTCCTGCATGTAGATGGTGCGTGTGAAGCCGTGTGGGGGGATGGCGGGCCTGGGGCTGGACCTGGCGTGTGGGGCCGGCCACGGCTGACAGGAACCGTGTCGATGTGCAACAGGAACCGTGTCGCTGTGCAGAGTGGTGCCTGCCACCGAGTCCCGGTTCGCCCCTCCCGGGCTGCCCCCACCCGCTGTGGGCTCTGGAGGTGCACTTGCTTCTTCAAGCTCCAGGCAGATCGTCCTGCCTCCTCCTGGTGGCAGGAATGAGGGTCCCTGGAGCCGATCGGGCCCTCCCAGCACATCCTCCCTTTCCTGTGGGCCACGCTCCTCTCCAGGCCCTGCCACGGGCTCCTCTCGAGACTTGGCACCGGCTCCAGCTTCCGGAACGGGGAGCTCCCGGTCTCCCTGGCCCTCCAGTCTTTCTCTGCCAGCCGGCCTTGCCAGCCCTCTGTCGGGGCCCCATCCTCTTGTCCCCCTCACAGCCTGGCCTTGGCCCCCAACTCTGCTCACTCGCTTTCCCAGTGGCCGTAGCAATCGGGCAGCTCATCACTGGTCATTCCCCCAAACTGTGTGACCCCCTCGTGTCCCTCTGCTCATCCTGCCTTGGCCTGCCTGGCACTGTGGCTCTTCTCCGTCTTCCAGCCGCGCCGTTCTGGGCTGTAGGAAGAGCGGGTGCGCACGGCAGCCGCAGATCCGGCTGTGTTTCCCCCGTGTCCGAGAGGGTCTTGCAGCTACGTGGTAAACTCGGTATGACCGGGCTCTGTCACTCCCTGGCCTCCTCCATGTGGGGAGGAGGGTCCTTGCTGAGAGAGTGGAGAGGCAGTTGCAGCCCCAGGCCCGTCTCCCCCCCAGGGTCTCATGGCTGAGGTGACCGTGTGCTCCCGGCCTGGGGGCAGCCGGTGGGGGCAGTGGGAGCCCCGGGGGGAGGACGCTAGCTTGGCTCGGTCAGTGTCTGCTCACGTGGTCGCTGGTACCTTCTGTCCCGGTCCCTCTGCAGCCACATCAGCTGCCGCTGTTGGTCGTGCAGACAGGCAAGCCTGTCTAGTACGCGGGGCCCTGGACACAGTTCTAGAACCTTCATTCTTCTCACGTCAGCATACTGGCTGGGGTGTCGGTGAGGGCCGCCTGGTCTCTGATGCAGCCTCGTCACCCACCGCCCTGCGGCCTCGCGTCCCCCCACACCTGTATGCCGCCAGTGCCCGCTACCTGGCTTGTGGGGGCCGAGGGCTGTCCCCCACCAGGTGATGAGAGGAGTCCCACGGCATCATGGGGACAGCCCGCGCCCTGCTCTCAGACCCGAGGCTGGCTGGGGCATGAGTCAGCTCTGCAGCACGTCTGGGTCCCCCGTGGGGTTCAGACCCGATCCTAGCCAGGCATCTGGCAGAGTCCTCTTGGTTTGGGTCAGAGGGTGGGTGAAGCCCCCCTTCCTGGGTTCTCATTTCTGTTCTACTTTCCACCCATCCTCATTGAGGCCCATGTTTGTACGGGCATCAGCCATCCGGGGTGGGTACTCTTGGCGACAAGTGCTCTCAGAGCCCCTCGGGAGGACGTGGGCCTGGGGCAGGTTCCAGGACACGTGGGGCGGCCACCACCAGGGAGGGGCCGTGTTCCCTGGACAGAGGAACGCACTGAGGTTGCAGGGCCAGAGAGGGAGCACGTCCGCCCACAGCCTCCGATTCAGCCTTCCCGTGGGTAGCGCTGCCCCAGGGCCCAGAAGGAAAGGCAGGACCATCCTCCTCAGGGACCGCAGAGGCTCTGCTGTGAGCTCTGAGGCAGGGGCCCGGGGCCAACGGGCTGTGTCCCATGTCTCAGGACAGCTGCTCCAGGCAGCTCCGTGGGGTTGGAGGGGATGAGAACGTCCCCTCAGACCTGACGGCAACCTTTTCCTGGTGACGGTGGCGGGAGACGTCCGCTGTGGGCAGCAGAGGGCAGTGACGACCAGGAGGCGAGCCTGTGGCCCGCAGCACGTGTTGGCTGGGCTCGGCCGGCAGTAGGCAGACTCACTGCCGCAGGAAGGTCAGTCTGTGCTCAGGGCTCGGGGCCAGAAAGGCATGCCGCCATCGGGCTGGAGTGTGTGGAAGGAACCGCCTGGAGAACGGACTGTGCCGTGCTTAGCCTGTGTGCGAGGCTGCTGAGAGGAAGGTCTCAGCCCCGTGCGCTGGCTCCCACGACGTTGGAGGGAGAAGGGCAGAAAGCACAGCCCGGTGTCTTGCCTGCTGCTCGCAGCACCCGTGTCCGTGCGGTGCGTGTGCTCGGGGCCAAGTCTGTCTTGTGGAGACACAGCGTGGGCTCTGAGCGGGGGCCGGTGCTTCTGCACACGCGCGCGCTAGCGGCTGGCCTGTGCCGGCTCGTCTTCAGCGGGTTGTGAAGCTCTCCCTTGGCAGGTCCTGATGGCCTTGTTCCAAGGCCACCGTAGGTCTTCGTGACCGTGGATGCTCTCTGTGCTGGTCTGTGTGCTTCCTCAGGCCCCCGCTACACCTGGTCGTGTGGTGTCCCTTGCCCCCCGCCAGCCGTCTGTCCGTACGTACTCAGTGCGGGCCCACTGAGTCCAGCAACCACCCCCCCGCCCCCAGGACTGCAGGATACTGGAGCCTGGAGTGGGCTGTGAGAGCGGGTGACCTTCCTCATCTCTGCAGACCTTAGCCAGGGACGGGCCCGCTCTCCCAGTCACCAAGCCCCAGCCTGGGACTTGTCCCCCGTCCCAGCCTCCCAGGCACCTGCAGCAGACGACCTGGCAGAGAACGGGGCCCCACAGCTTCTGTCTGGGAGCCTCTCTGGGCCATCTCCCCCTCCCCTGCCTCTTCCCCAGTGCCCCGCGGAGACCTCCGCCCTGTCGGGGGATCCTCTGTCCCCTTCCTGACCAGCTCGCCCTGCCTTCCGTCCAGCCCACAATGAGCAGCCCACGTGGCCCCAGGAGCTGTCGCCATCACGCGCTCCCACCACTCCTCCGTAGAATCAACTCCAAACCCCAGGACGGGCCCTCGGGGTCCTGCCGGTGGGAGTCCAGACGGCGCTCTGTCAGTGGCGAGCACGGTTAGCCTCACTCCGGTCGGTCGGGCTCAGGGAGCCCCAGGGCTCCTCGCCAGATCCCGGTTCTCCGAGAGCTGCGGTCTCTGCTACGTCTGACACCGTGGTGGCGGGTCGCGCTCTTCCTCAGGCTGAGGAAGACCCTTTGTCCGGGGAGCGTTGGCTGTCCCCGCCACCTGGGCCAGCCCTGGACACCTCTGCCGCAGGGAGGCCACGCTGACAGAAAGCCTGGGCCTGACGGCCCTGATGTGGGATCCTTGGCTCTCGTCCCCAGCAGACTGGGAGGTGGGCCGCAGGGTCCCGTGCATGTGCTGTTGGTGGAGCTCGGAGCAGCCACGTCCTCCCCTGCTCCGGAATTTGCAGACCTACCAAAGTTTATTTTTATTCCATTGCCGTGAAATGTCCAAGGAAGCCCATCAGACTTCTTCCCAGGACGGGTGCCTGCAAGTCAGCATTTCTTCCACGGGTGTGCCATTATGGGCACCAAGACCAAAGTCAGCCGGATGGGGCGGCTGTGTCCAGACCACAGGGGCGCAGTCAGACCCCTGGGGACCTGCTGGCCACGCCAGAGACCCTGGTTCCTACCTCCCCCTGGAAGGAGCTTCTTTGGGCCCAGAAGGGGACAGAGCAGAGAGCAAGCTCCCACCCGCGTGCCCGTGGCCCTTGCTGGCGTCCTCGCACACAATGGAAATGCGGGCCCTCCTCCCTGCAACGCAGACCTACACGGGGGCACACAGCCCCACGCCGTGGTCTTGCCCATTCCCCGATAGTCTGTGCCCTGGTGGGACATGGGCTGGGCCACAGGCAGGAGCGGCCAGTGTTCCTTGGACAAACGCAGGTGGGCTGAAGCCTGGGCTCTGGGAAAGTTATGAAGGAGAGAGGCATTCACTGGTCTGATCCCACAGAAACCCCAGAGCACAGGTCTGCTCTCCCTTCTGCCGCTCTGGAATGGAAGATGTTGGGTGGTGGTCCTTGTTACGTCGTGGGACTGAGTGTGGGGTCCATAGATGGGTCTGAGTGCTGTGTGCACCATCCCGGGCACGTGTTCGGGACTCTGAGCCCCACATTCTGCATCCATGAAATGGGCAGGCTGCAGAGAGAGGACGGTGTGGCCGGGGCCAGCCCTGAGCTCTGCACTCAGGCTTCAGGAGCCCCGTGAGTGAGTGATGGTAGGTGATGCCCTTGGGATGTAACCAAAATAGTAAAACCCTAGAGTAAGAATAAGGAAAGAAAGAAAGTTACAATTTTTCTACAGATCGTTACGTTCTTTTAAAATTTTATGAAATAGCAATTAAAAATTCTTTTTAGTGCCCCTGTTTCCAGGTGTTGTGGGTGTGAGTGCAGACGGCCTGGCTGGCTCACCTTTCCCCTGGGCTTTCGCACCCAGGGTGGGAGACAAGCCGTCTGTTCTCCCCACACCCGGGCAACACACCGCACTTCCTGCCAGCTGTCCTCCCAGACATTGTCCTCGCCGTGAGGACCCCTACCACGTGGGTCTGCACATCCTGTCCTCTCCTTTGGGTCTAACCCAGAGCCTGGTGTGGACATTTCAGTAGCTTCCCAGGACAGACAGCCCACCCGGGCTGGATCTAAATACACTGGTCAGGTGTCCCCCAGCGAGGTCGTCTTCTGAGAGGTCTTCCCGGGGGGGCCACATGTGAAGGGCGCGGTGCAGGGGTGAGTGGTGTCTACACTGTCCTTCTCTCTGGCCTCCGGAGAAGAGTTCAGGGACAGAATTCGGCTTATGTTGTGTTTCTCGGGTGGTGGGAGTGGCAGGAGGTAGATTCCAGCTGTTTGCAGCATAGATTTTCATGATCAGCTCCGCCTAAGGAAGGAGCAGGCCGCTTTGGAAAGCAGTGAGCTCCCCAGCAGAGGAGGGAAGCCGAGACTGGCCCGTGCGGTCCCTGTCTCGGGTGGGGTTGTGGACCGGCTCTTGCTCTGCTCAGGGAGCGGAAGTGGTCATCCAGCTGGACAGCCGCTCCTGGACCTACACAGCCTAGCATGCTCCGTCTACACCACCCGCAGCCCCGGGTCGCCTGGGTATCTGCAAGCCGCCGTTAACCTTTGTGGACAGGATGGTGTGCGCCCCTTCTCCTCGGGCCTCCAGCTGTACAGCCACTGGAGGGACTGGCTGGGGGCAGCGGGTTGAGAGTCTGGGGGCTCCCCTGTCCCAGGGCAGGAGGAGCGCAGCTGCCGCTGAGGCCAGGCTCCTGGCCAGCCACATGTCCCACCAGTCTTGTCGTCGGCCAGCACAGTGGGTCCCCTGGGGCTGCCTCACCCCAGTGGGGTGTCCTCCATGCCATGAGGTGGCCACTGCCCCAAACCCCCTTCAGAGCACTGGGGCTTCTCTGCGCACCCCACTTCTCCAGGCCTCGGGGCGCTCTGTTGTGAAGGGAGTTCGGCAGACATCCTCAGGGAGGGCTCGGGGCTCCCTATGTGAGCCCGGCGAGAGTTGCTGTGAGAGCAGGCCCGGGTGAGTGTGCAGAGGACACAGGCGTCCTTCCTGCTGGCCTGCGGCAGCCAGCAGCTCCCCTTGGCCAGACCACGTGGCCTCCTCCCTGCAGGACCCCCCACAGGACCCCTCCGCGGGGACGCTCCTCTGCTGGCTCCTGCCCTCCCTGCATTTGACTTCTGGGCTCGCTGGCAGACTTGCCTTTTCTGTGCCCCCCCCCTCAGCCCCTGTGCCTCTGGCCCCCAGCGAAGGGGAGGGCATCTTTGAGGGGTTCCTCCCCTGCCTCCAGGCTCAGAGCATGGGGCAGGCATGGGGGAGACTACCCGCACCTCCCAGGTGTTCAGAAGGGACCCACGCAGATTGCTCTGGCTTCAAAACACACAGTGACAACGGATGAGGAAAGTCTGGCCAGTTAACACGAACACGGAAGAGACGTTCTCCAAATTTTGTTTGCCACATGGGCCATGTGCTGTCCGTGGCCATAGTCCCAGCGCCCAGATTTTGTCCTGAGTTCGTCCACACGCTCTGACCATACCTTCTTGTGTCCACGACAGTCCTCGCAGCAGCCGCCATGGGACAGCCGGGAGCACGTGCTCAGTGACTCGACAGACATGTCCACACGGTCGCTCCCCTCTCACCGCCGACTCCGTGTAGACCATGCTCGTCTCTGGCTGCTGGGTACATTCCCTGCACAAGCCCCAGCAGCAGGGCGACTCCTGGAAGGAGTGGACGTGTCATGGGACCTGCCGGGGACGCCAGGAAGGCCGTGAGCCCGCGCACTTCCCCAGCGGGGTGTGGCCTTTCGGCACCAGGCCAGCGCGCTCAGCATGGTTTACCCGCCTCGTGGTGAAGACTCGTTCTATGAGTTTGCTCAGACTCACGCTTACTCGCTGTCCGAACGGTGGACGCGGCTCCTGTCCCCGCCAATTCTATGAGTAGCCGGTCTCTGTGTCGTGCCTGCGTGTTTATGCTCTCACGGTCCCTTGCGTCCTCCCCGTTGAGCCCCGGGCACGGGTGTGTGTGTGACGTTGGTCAGTACTTTGCTGATCGCCATTTGCCTCTCATTCTCATTGGTATTTAGAGTTGAAAGCGACGCTGTTGTCCCGCCCCATTTTTAGGCTCTGAGCTGCTATAGGGCTCGCTGCCCCTTGGAAGGAGCACGGTTTCCATCGTCTGAAACATAAAGTAGCCGTTTCCTATAAGGAGGCTCTTTCTGTCCCCAAAGGAGCAGCTTGGGGTGTGCCGTGTGCCGGGCAAGGTCCAGGTCCGTAAACTCACGCCCGCGGGAGGGCAGGCCCCAGCAGCCCCTCTGCACTCTTGCATGGGGGACAGTAATGCTGCGGGAGTCCAGAGTTACCGGAGTTTCTGCGTCGATCGGAATTTGTCCTGAAGTCTTTTTACCTGCGTACGAAGAAATCATAAACCAAAATTTATTTCCTAAATGCAGGCAGCCTCCGGTACAGAGCTGGGGTCTTGATTTGAGGCATTAAAGAGTCTTCATAAAATAAAGTAAATAAAAACAACCCATATAGGGGTCCATCGGGTGTCTCCTCTGCGGTGTGGGGCTCGGGGCGGGCTCTGGTCCTGCCCCACAGTCGCCACATCCATTCTTGGTGACGCTGTTGCCTTCGTGTCCCTCAGGCAGCTCCAGCAGCAGCAGGCGGAGTTGGAAGTGCACCAGCGGGACGGGCTGTCGTCCTACGACTTATCGCAGGTGAGCTCCTGGGAAATGTCTGCAGCCCAAGGGACCGGGACGGCGCTCGACCCTTAGCTTGATTCCCCCACTGCCCCCTCAGCCAAGCAGGCGCAGCTATTCCGTCCAGACACTCAGTGCAGAGGCCTCGCTCCCCTGGGGGTCTCCCGTGACCCTTCTGCAGAACTGGGCCATGAAGGAGGCAGGACCCGTGAAACCCGGGTGGCAGGTTTTGGCCAGTACGGAGATGGCGGGCCCATGGTAGCTTTCCGGACACCGTCTCACAAACTAGGAAGCCGGTGGAGGAGCTCTGGACCCTGTCAGCCCTCCACTGCCCAGCCGTCTGTCCTGCTTTGGTCCAGTCCCCATCTCCTCCCACGCCTGGTCCTGCCCTGGGTCCCCCTCTCCCTGCGCTGTTTCCCTCCCTTCTCCCTTCTCCCTTCTCCCTTGTCCCCTCCTTTTCCCTCTGCCTTTCCTGCTGTGTCAGAGAGCGGGCCTCCTCGGGAAACCACACGTTTCCTGGTCTTTAGAGTACGCGATTATTCTGTATCTCCCTAGAAGTGATCGGTGTGACCCCGTCATCCTTTCCGTGACCTCCAGCTCACACCCCCACCCCGACTGTCCTTGGCCTCTGTCAACAGAAAAGCCCCCACACCCCCCACCTGTAAAACCGTCCAGCCCGAAATGTCAGTGAGACAGGAGGGAGGGGACCCAACGAAGGTGATGTTCTGTGTCTCACACGTGGGACACGGTCATATTTTCATGCGCAAACAGGTTCCCGTCCCCAACCTGCCAGCTGGCGTTCACGAAACTGGGAAGTCCGTGGAGAAGGCGGATGCCATCTTCTCCCAGGAAAGGGACCCCCGGTTCGCTGAGATGTTTGCGGGGATCAGTGCATGTAAGTTTCCCGATGGCACGGGGGCCTGGCGGGGGTGGGGGGCGGGGCTCTGCTGCTGGGCCGTCGGGGGGTGCCCCCCCAGGAGAGGCCCCCGCGGGTGGGTTTTCCGTGTGCGAGAGCACCCAGAACAGGAGCCCGGTGGACCCCCCCCCCACTCGCCCCTCCCTGGGGCCCCGGACCGCACGCCTCCTGCATTCGAGGGTTGGAAACGAACGGCCCGTGGGCGCCCAGTCGCTCAGTCGCGGTCATCGGGTGGCCTCTGCCTCCGTCGGCGCCGTCGCCGGAGAAAGTGGCGCGTACTGGATCGAGCTGTCCTGTGACGCCCGTGCACCCCTTGCCCCTTCCAGTCAGATTACCATTAAGGCAGCAAAATACACAATCTGGAAAGGTCTGTGTCATTCCAAAATTCAGCAGAAGGATCCCATTTTGTGGGAGTCAGAATTTCTGCGAGTTGCAGTGCAGTGGGCGTCCACTGAGGAGCGCAGCCGAAGGAAGACCAGGCTCAGACCTCCTGGCGTCCGCACGTGCGCTGCCGACAGGGCCGTCATTCCCGCTGTGACCAGCCGCTGGGCAGCCAAGGAAGGGGCAGCACCATCTCCCACGAGGGCCACGCGTGCTGACCCGTGGGGCGCGGTGACCTGTCGGCCCCCAGACACGCTGCCCGCCTTCATCAGGGGCTCTCGATGTTGGCGGAGAAGAGAGCAAATGGTAGCACGTCTCAAAGTCTTCTCTGACCCCCAGAGAAGCCTGAGGCGTCGGACCAGACCCTGCAGCGTTTCTAGGAAATCCACGTGAAGTTGTGATGTGTCACAGACAAGACACGTTCCCATGTAGGTGACCGAAGGGGGAGAGTTGGCAGACAAGGAGAACGGGAGAGCCCCCACGTGTCCAGCCGCCAGGCTGCGCCCTCACATGAGAGGCCACAGGTCAGCGCTCCCGGACACGGGCCATCGACCCAGACCTCCGAAGCACACGGCTTGCCGGGGATGGGCTTGTCTGTGGGGTGAATCAGAACACAGAATGCGAGAGCGGAAGAGGCGGGCTGAGAAAGCAGGAGTGCGAAGAGGACACCAGGAACCCCAACGACCAGGGTACATATTGCCAGAAGATACAGAAGATGCAGAAAAACCAGAACCCAACCGATTCGGCAAAGACCCGGGCGCATCTTGGGTTAGGGTCATAAACAGAAATTTCTCGTTGGCTGGTATGTTTTTTTCCTCTGATATTTCTAGAGCTGCATAGCTTCCCGTGTGTTCAAAAATAGCCACTCTTGAAAGGAGGGAAGAGAAAAGAAGGGAGGAAGTCTTGCTTCCAAGAAAAGACGAGGACGTTTTTAGCAAATCGCAAAACACTCGGGAAAAAAGTGAAATCATAAGAAAGTCTGAATGTCATGATGGTAGAATCCACGGGTGTCCAAGGACCCGACGGGCAGCTCCTGGGTCACGGGCTGCCAAATGGGCCGTGTCCAACCTCATGCCGCGAACTGTGGGGCACGGAGGGGTGGGGGCCTGGTGCCCGCGGACCCCGGAAGGCACCGTCATCCGAGCGCCATGGGTGACAGGTCTGCTCTACACTGTGACCTGATGGGGAGGTGCGTGTATCGTGAGCCCTGGAACGTGGGAAAGAGTAACTGGAAATACATGAAAATCCGATAAAACCAAGTTGCGGCGGGAGGTCTCAAGGTCGTTTCTTCATCTCCGACACATCAAGCAGATCAAAGTCACAACACGAAGAAAACTATAGAAGATTGAATAATAAAATCAAGACTTTCCATACACACAATTTTGTGCCCTACAAATGTTTCAGAGCAGTTAGGAAAAAATGTGCTTCTCGTTGACCCAAACCACCCAGAATACGTGAGAAGAATCGCTCACCTTAAGTGAAAAGTCACGAGAAGTCCCTCGGGCGCCACTCCCCGGGACCTCGAGCTGTGTCTTCATCTGCAAGACTTGGGCCTGTGGACCACATCAGAAACGCAGGCCGAGAGGCCGGGCCCTTCCGCCCTGTCGGCGTTTCCTCCAGGCGCCGTCATCGCAGCAAAGGGAACGGACCGGGGAAACTGCTCGGGGCTTCAGCGTGACAAAACGTCACAGGGAGGTTTGCACACGTGGGAGATTCAGCACGTGACCACTGACGCCGTCCCCTCGGCCGCAAGCCCCCGAGCCTGAGCATCCATTGCTGCTAGTGTCCACCCCGGGGGATCCCCCACCAAGCCAGAGACGGTTACAGGCGAGGGGTCTGCATAGGCCCCAAATCCTTGCCACGTAACTAACGTTGATGTCCTTTGTTCCCGTGTCTTGTGGGTGGGCTGTCAGGGGTCGTGGGAACAACGGGCACAGGAATTTAGACATCGTAGGGCAGCGAGAGGCTCTAGAACAAACATGTCCAACCCTCCTGCCCCATCATAGGGCAGAGCTGGGCTCTGAGCTCCAGCATGGCTCCTCCGAGCCACAGTTCCGTGTGTCCTCCACGGGCGTGGAAGGAGTCAGTAGTCCTGTCTGAGGAAGAACGTCCATTGGTCCTTTCCATCTTCCCAAGTCTTGGAACGGGCCTGCTTTCTGGGGCGCATGGCCAGGCCTCGGTGCCGGAGGACAGCCCAGCGCCCTCCTGTGCACAGAAGGCCCCGGGAGACGGAGGGCGCGGAGGTGAGGGCGGGCAGGGACACGTGGACGGGCAGCCGGGATGGGTCTGTCCTGCTTGGGGACGCCCAGCCCCACACCTGCCCCCTGGCTGCCCACGCCGTGGTCTGGAGGACGAGGAGCCCTTGAGCATGACCCTCGTTGTGCTCTTCTAGCGGACAAGAAGATGATGAGCTCAGCGCCCGCGGCCGGGACGCAGCAGATCTACTCCCAGGGCAGCCCGTTCCCCCCGGGGCACTCCGGGAAGGCCTTCAGGTACGCACCGGGTGGGGGGCTGGGGACAGTGGCAGCACCTCTGGTCTGGGGCCAGCAGGACAAGGCGGGGTCCCCCAGGGAGTGGCTGCCATGCCGTCCTCACCAGCCTGCACCTGCTCATGGGGTTCTCCCAACCCTAACCCCGACCCTGGCTGCCAGATCCTCGGTCTGGACGGAGGCAGCAGGGAGGGGGCAGAGGCCGGAGGTGAGGAGGGGGCCGTTGGGGATGGGAACAGAGCTGGGAAGGCCTGGCCGACTGTGAGCGGAGCCTGGGAGCAAAGGTCACGTGGCCACTTGGGGACGCAGAGGGACCTCCTCCGGAACGTGCTGAACAAGGCCCGGGAGGCCGCAGGCAGGGAGAGACTCGGGGTCTGGGCAAAGCAGGAGGCTGCGGAGGCCTTGAATGCCACGCTGGGGAGCTGGAGGGGAAGAGGGGCTTGGGGAAATGGGGTCCGGGAGAAGGTCCGGGGGGCGGCATGGAAAGGGAGGTGCAGGTGGTTCACAGGACACGTGGTCCCACTCCAGATGCTGAGCCGGGGTGAGGCTGTTGTCATGGAAACAGGAGTCGGAGGGCAGTGACGGAGGAGAGGCCGGCTTGTGGCCAGCTGGCTGTGCGGGGAAGGGGTCGGGACGGCGGCCCCTGCCCACAGTCCGGCATCAGGAAAGCCTCTCTCACTGCTCGTCTGTGGAAGGGCGGGAGGGAAGGACGGGAGGGAAGGACGGATGGAGGGAGAGAGGGAAAGAGGGAGAGATGGATGGACAGGTCGAAGGAAGGAAGGAGGGAGGGAGGGAAGGAAGGGTGGGTGGAGGGAGGGAGAGATGGACGTCTGTGAGCTGCTAGGCCTGGGTCATGAGCCGGATTTCCTGTAAATCTGAGGGGCCCGGGCTGGCGGGAGGGGGAAGGGCGTGGGATGGATGTGGCAGTCGGAGGTCAGTCGCCCTGAGCTCTGGAAGAGTGGTGTCACCGCAGGCCCCTGAGTGTGTCCTCACGCTGAGCCCTGCCGTGGGCCTGGCAGCCATGGCCCAGCCTGTGTGCACTGAGGCAGGCATCCCTGGGGGTTCTGGGGAGTGCCAGGCACGGGCTTGCTGGGCACAGGGTCCGGCCCTCGTCCATCAGTGCCCTGGGAGGACGGGAGGGCTGAACGGGTGGGGAGAGACCCCCGACCCATAGAGAACAGGAATCAGTAGAGGCTTTCCAAGGCCATCGGCTCATCAGGAGGGAGGGTGGGGGAGGGCCCTTATGTTGAGGGACGGGGTGGCGGCAGGAGGAATGCTGTCCGCTTGGGGGATGGCTGGGACAAGGAGGCACAGACACACTTGGAGTGTCCCTATCTCACGAGGGACCAGAGAGCACAGAATAAGTATGATAACACACGCAATAAGACCGTACCCACTCTTCTGTGCCGGCCCGTACACTGCCTTTCTTTGAAACCCACACCGGCGGTCAGCCCGGTCCCCCACCCTTGGCTCCCTCCTGGGCCCGCAGCGCTGTCCCGCCCTGAGCTGCTCCAGGACGAAGGGCATGAAGCCAAACAGAAGCTCCCACCTTCCCCCTTTATTGCGCATGTTGTGGGATCCTGTATCATCACCATGGCTGGAAAACGCTGCGGGTGGCGGGGTGTGCCGCTGGCCTGGGAGCCCAGACGGCACCCAGAGGTGGCACCTGCAGGGGGCCAGACACAGAGGCACCTGGGACTCACCAGCCAGTGCCCCATACCAACGGGAGAATATGGGAGACGCGGGAGGGTGGGAGGCCGGCTCCCCACAGCGTCCTACGGGTGGGGCGTCCCCTGACAGGCTGTCCTGTTCAAGACCAACCCCTTGATAGCCTGCGGCCCAGTCCCACAGTCCAGAGCCTGTAGGCGCCCCACGGGGACGAATTAACCAGTGCACAGGGCACTGGGTCCGCACTGAGGCTGATTTTCACGCTAAGGAGCTTCTCCCTCCGAGACACATGGGGTGGGCGGCCCGGAGGAGAGAGTGGGGCCCAGGGCCTGGGGGGGAGCACGAGGCAGGCCACAGAGGTGACACAGAGAGGGTCCCAGGGGGGAGGAGGAGCACCAGGGGGCTGGCCACGCGTGGGCCACCTTGTCCCGGCCTGTTCTGTGCTAGAGAGATGGACAGACGGACAGAGGTGGCTGCTGCGAGCAAACAGGGGTGCCCCCGGGGGGCCCGCGTGGGGGGTGAGGCGTCTCCTCGGGACGAACGCATTTTCATCCCTTCCAGCTCTTCCGTGGTCCATGTGCCCGGCGTGAATGACATCCAGTCCTCCTCGTCGACCGGCCAGAACATGTCCCAGATCTCCCGCCAACTGAACCAGAGTCAGGTGGCCTGGACAGGGAGCCGGCCGCCCTTTCCTGGACAGGTACGGGCTCCGGGGAGGGAGATGTTCCCAGGCCCAGGTGGGTCAGAGCACCCGGGACCGACTTCCTTCGGCTCCCGGCTCCGACACAGGTTAGCGCTCTGAGTACCAGCCCCCTCCCCTCCCCTGAGGGGCCCAACAGCAGAGTCCCGTGTGCTTTCCGCGGCCCGAGTGCTGCCGTGGACGGGAAGCTGGGGAAAGGGGCAGATCCACAGACGCTCTGTGAGGAGTGAGCCCCCTCACCACTCTAGAGCCCCGTTTGCCCCAGCCGGAGCGCGTGAGGACCCCTAGCCCCGGGATACACACCACTCCCTGGTAGGCACTGTGACACGGGCATCTGGTGGCCCAGGGGACTTCTCCATGTGTTTGTAGTACCAGGACCCCATCAGCAAAAGCCGTAGGACCCCCATCCTTGTAGGGCGGGGGGTGACTTCACCCAGACCTGCCCCAGTTTCTGGACCTGCACATGCTGGGCTGACGCCAGGTTTGGACCCAGGTGGGCAGGAGAGCCATGGGGAGTTGCTGTCAGCCCGTGCGGCCTAGGGACCGGGCCAGAGGCCTGCTGGTGATGCTTCCCTTCTCTTTGCTGTGTCCTGATTATAGCAAATCCCTTCCCAGTCCGGCAAGACTCAGTCATCTCCCTTTGGGATTGGCACGAGCCACACCTACCCGGCGGACCCGTCCTCCTACAGCCCCCTCTCCAGCCCAGCTACCTCCTCGCCCAGCGGGAACGCCTATTCCAGTCTCGCCAACCGGACGCCAGGGTTTGGTAGGTTGGGAACGAGGGCAGGACTCCCCAGGAGAGCCGACAGAAATGCTTTCTGAACGTCCTGAGTTCGGGGGACTGAGCCCTGAGTTTCCAGAACCCGGGGACCATGCCTGGGGGTTTCCAGGTGCCGTGGTGTTTCTCGGACGCTGGGGGCTTGGGTCTCAGCTGTGTGAGGCGATTTTGTCATTTTCAAGGCTCTGGGACTATAGTCCTGTGTGCCAAAGTGCTGTTTTACCCTTTATGGCCCTTGGTGAGGAAGTTCACTCTCTCTGCTGAACGTCCCGGGAAGGATCCCATCCCGTGTCAGAGCTCCTCTCCCAGCTTCAAAGAACCTCAGGCCATAGGGGTTCAGTGGCAGCTCCCCGTGGTGCCGCTTCCCGTGGTGCTGCTTCCATGTGGGTCTGCTGGGCCCGGGCCCCACCTCGATTGGGAGGGGCTGCCAGGCGCCCTGAGCTTCCTGAGCTGGGGCCCATCCTCTCTCAGCGCGGCCACCGTGACCCACCTGTGAGGCTCACGGGGCGTCTCTCTGCAGGACGGACGCCCTCAGGCGAGCGTGGGGCTGAGCCCGCATACCCGGGTTTCCACCTGGCAAGTCAGCCCCAGGGGAGCCGCTGTGTCCACCGCTGCCCACTCCCTGTCCCACCCCGGACACAGCACTTCCTGAACCCTCACCAGCCGTGCCCCTGTTCGTACACACACAGAACAGGTTCTCCTGCTCGGCCTCAAGCCAAGCCTGAGTATTGTCCCCCAACGGGAACTCAGCCACATGGTCCCCGTTTCTGGAGGGAAGGGTCCCCGGCCTCTTGCTCGTTCTAGCCTGCCGGATACCCAACTCAGAAACCTCTGGACTCTGGAAGCAGCTGGCCTCCAGGGAGCCCCTACCCCCTGGTCTTTGCCTCGGCTGTCGATGGGAGAGGGTCCCCATCCGGGCACAGTGGCCACGTCCCCATTCGCTCCTGGCTGCCCTGCACTCACAGGACCCCACTGACAGTTAGGATCACGGCTGGTACTTACCAGACGCTCACTACCTGCTCGGCACAGGCACGTTTGAATTCCCATAACTCTCACGGAGACGCCTGATGTCTCCCATTTCACAGATAGATAAACTGAGGCATGGTGAGGTCAGATAGAGGTCACAGTGCCCTTGTCTCCAGACTCTACTTGCCCCTGTCCTCTGATCCGTCATTAGGGGCACATGGGACTTAGGTGGGGACTGGGTGTCCCAGTGGAGGTTTCTTGATTCATACCAATGAGGGGCTGGGCCCCACTGCGTGAGTGCACAGAGACCACGGACAGGGCTCCTGCGGGCTCACCATCAATCCCTCCCTTGTTGACCTTGACCCAGCAGGGCAGGAGGAAGTGGTCACCCGTGTTTGGAAACCAGGCCCTGGAGAAGAGGTCAGGGAGCGGGGGAGGAGCATAGGGTGGGCCAGTCCTGGTGGGCATGGGCTCCCCAAGGACAGCTGTGGGTCAGTGGCAGGAGGCCCCAGCAGAGGAGGGGACGGTAGTGTAGAGGGGCCCAGAGGGTAGGGCGGGCCGTGCATGGGACGTGCGGCCAGTGGAAAACAAACAGCCTCAACTCCAAGGGGCTCCAGGGAAATGGGATCTGTGGAGGTAGGCATGGAGGGCAGGCTTTGGTCAGGTCAGAGAGAAGAGAGTGTGCCTGTGGTTCATGAACAAGGACGTGCTCCCGAGCCAGTGGGAGGGTGCAGGGAAGACAGCGGTAAAGAAGGGGTGCGTGGGGAAGAGACAGAGGCACCTGCTGATGGTGTCAGCCATTGAGTGAACACAAGCCCGTGGACCCGCCAGCCGTGCTCATGTGGGCAGGGGACTCTCACCTTGCCGTGCATGGAACCCAAGTGCCCCCTCCAAGGGTACGGGTGAGATGGCGGTGCCGTGGGACCTACTGGTCGGGCCCAGAGGGTGCGCAGGCCCAGCCCCCCCCCACCCCCCACAGTACCCAGCTCAGCGAGCTGTCCTGGGCAAGATTCCAGAGCCCCGACGGCCCTGTCTCACGGACAGGAGTCTGGGAGAGCTGGGGAGCCGACGATCACCTAGTGCGGGCCCTGGTAACTGACATCAGGGGGAACAGGCCGTGCCGGGGCTTCTGCAGGGGCTCCTCGAGGTGGCCAGTGTATGGGGTTCCCTCCTTGAATGAGGAATCCGGCCTCCTTGTTCTGGCTCCTTCCGTGAGCCACAGGCTCCTTTCGCTCCCCTGGCTTCCCGGAGTCAGACCAAAGCCCTCCCGCCATTTCGGGGCTGTGCATGGACCCCGAGCTGTGCGACTGATGCATTTGCGTTTCCAGTCCTGATTCCGGTTTCGGCTCGCCATGGGTCTTACCTCATTTGATGGGGAGAGCCTGGAAGCAGTACTAGAACGCTTCACTGAGGGGCTGACAAGTGCAGGTGTTGGCTTCCTAACAGCTGGGTGGGGAGGGCGCGGCCGACGGGGCGCAGACAGGACACAGACGCCACACCTGTCATTGTGGCTCGGGGCGCTTCCTACAATGACCCTTAGCTAATGGGGTTGCTGGAACGCCCTGGCGAGGACATGCTGGTGAACCTGTGTGGCAGCTTCCTGCTCCAAGCCTGGAGGTCCCACCTCCCCGAAGGTGTGTCTGTGCGGAGGACAGAGCCTCGTGGCAGTAAGTGGACTGGCCGGGGGCTGGGGGCCTCGGCTGGTCGCTCCCCGGAGGGAGCACGCAGACCGGAGCCCACAGGAGCTGCCGCTGGGCCTCCTGCACGCCGCCAGTCCCCGCGCTGCAGACAGAGAAACATCTGAACCAGGAGAGAAGCCCCTTCCTCAGTGCCTGCGGGTCTCTCCAGCACCTTCTGTGGACAGAGCCTAACCTCGCCTAGTGGTGGGGGAGATGTGATTCCCGCACGCGGCAGCTGCCCCACAAGGCAGCGCGAAGGGGCAGTAAACCCACTGAGACCTGAGGTCCCTGAACGGCAGCGTCTCCATCTCCACCACCTGCCTGCCGTTGCGTCCGTGTGTCTCGGGGAAATGCAGGGGCCAAGCACACGGCTGCTCAGGGAAAGTGGCCCAAGGGGCCGGGGCAGACCAGGCGCTCCTCCTCGGACTCGCCTGGGGTCTAGATGATGTGACCGCCTCACCCGTGCGCGTCCAGACACAGAGGCCGGGCAGGCAGGGACAAGCCATTGCTTCCTGCCCTCCGCGTGTCCCAGTTTAGGAAGGGGCAGCTGACCCACCCTGCACATGCCCGGCACGAGTCCGTGCAGATCCTCCCGGGTCACAGCAGATAACACGACGGCGTGAGTGTGAGCGTCACTTCTGAGGCTCGAGAAATGCATCGGTCACGTCACCGGCCTTCCCGGAAGGAGGCCTGTCCGTCCGCACGCCTGCTTCCGAGAGGAAGACGGAGAGAACGTGTCCTTCCACAAGAGTCTGAAGATGTTTGCGGCGGGAAGGGGGATGAAAAATGAGGGACGGGGCCGGGCAGGCGCGGTGGGGGAGGGGTTGGCATTTCCGTGACCTGGAACATTTGCAGACACCACACCCCGAACCCCCAGGTCCTGCCTCGACTCAGCCGTGTGCCTTCTCACAGCAATTTAGGGAATCAGAGACCTTCCCACCGCTCCCAGTTACCGACGAAGAATGAAGTCTTGGGGAGAAAGCATGGGAAACGTGTCCTTGGCATGACCTACAGGAGCCCCCCACCCGGAGGCATTTCTAGAACAAGCTGGCACTTGGATGCTCTTGGCTAACTCTGACCATGAGGCCTCCCAGCGTCAGTGCTGTGGACGATTTAAGCCACGTAATTCTCTCTCAGGAGCTACCTTGTTCGTGTGGCTGTTCAGCTGCGTCCCCAGCTTCCCCCTACCCGCCCCCCTGCATTTATGACCACGAGAGGTGTCTCTAGACATGTCCCCCCCGCGCGGCAGGGTCCCCCGGGGTAGCCCCCCCATCCCCCCCCCCCCCACCGGCCGCAGAGGGCCTCTGAGCAACAGTTCTAGCAGCTCTGGGATCCTCAGGGGAAGCTCTCTGGGAAACCGTCAGCAAGTGACCTGACGGCCTCGGACGCCGAAGGACTGTCTCGGGAGGAAGATGTCGTCCCTTCCTGCTACAACCTAGGAACCCACACGCTTCTCCAGGTTCTGAAGTCGTCCGAAAGGCCACCCATTTGGCCCTGACGGTGGCAACGCTGCGCGTGCTCTGCTTGGGCTGCGGGGCTGACGGGTCCCCACGTCCAGCCGGGGCCACAGCAGCCCGGACTGGGCTCAGGAAGCGGCAGAGCAAAGACGGAATGGCTGGAGCCCGGCTCACAGTTTGCAGCTGTATGCACGCAGCTCCCGGAACAACACGGCGTCCGAGGATGTCGGTGACCCCTGGGGTTTTCTCCAGGAAGTGGCTTGTGGACACATGGTGGGTGCCGGCCACATTTCTCACCTCCTCAGCATCGGTCTGTGGTCGGGTGGTGTGGCTCCGCGGGCCGAGGTCTGGGCTGAGAGCACCCGGCGCTGTGTGTCATGGTCACTGCTGTTCTGTGAGTGCGGAGGTCACGCGTGTGGCTGAGAGCTACGCGGATTCCATAACAGGGGCCGGAAGAACGGCCTCCCCGGGACCCTCCCGTCTGACGGTGTGAACGCAGCCCGCTGGTCACGGCCCGGGAGGCGGCTTCCCGAGGAAGACCATCAGCTGTGACATCCGCTTCCCTGTCCCCCCACGCAGCCTACACCCCCTTGCTGTGCTCGGAGCCATCCTGATGACCCGGACCCTCGTCTGCTGCCCCTGCAGAGCTGGGCTTGGTCGCCCCCGTGGCCGAGGCTCTCTGCTCCGTGTCTGGGGCTTGGTGGGCGTCGGATATAAACTCTCAGTGTCCCAAGTGAACGCACGCGAGCCCTGTGTCAGAGAGACCTCGGTTCCAAGGGGGCTCCGGCACTTCAGGTGGAATGAGCGGGCAGATTTCCGGAGGCTTCAGTTCCTTGTCTGGAAGCGGTGGGGAATGCAGCCGTCTCAGCGTCAGCGGGAAGAGGAAATGAGATAAGGTCAAAGCCCAGCACACACCTGTTTCCAGAAGTTCCACGTCCCTCCTTCCTCGGCTCCTTCTGTCGTTCCCGAAGCGATCCCGTTGAGTGGTTTTTCTACTGCAAACATTTTTTTTTTAAGATTTTATTTATTTATTTGACAGAGAGATCACAAGTAGGCAGAGAGGCAGACAGAGAGAGATGAGGAGAAGCAGGCTCCCCGTTGAGCAGAGAGCCCGATGCAGGACTCGATCCCAAGCCCCTGGGATCATGACCTGAGCCGAAGGCAGAGGCTTAACCCACTGAGCCACCCAGGCGCCCCTCTACTGCAAACATTTAAGAAGAGCCTGTCCTTTCCCGGAAGTTTAAGAATTGATTGTGCAAGCGTGCGTGTGTGATGAGTACGAATGAGCCCGTCTTTCTCCAGGCTTCGGCCCCACTGCCTGCAGGGTCTCTGGCAGTCCCTGAGACTGACTGACATGGGAACGTGTGTTCCCTTCCCCGGTTCCACGCCGATGAATGCAGGGAAGCATCCGTGGGAGCAGAAGTAGGGGTTGAGAGGACACAAGGCCACGCAAGCGGAGAGTGGGTTTGGGAAGCTCGCACCCAGTGGGGCTCTGGACGCAGGCAGAACCCTCCAGGCGCAGAGGGGGTCCGTGGCTGGGGGCAGGCAGGCCACCCGGGAAGGGGTGGCGGGGGGCAGGGTGGGTGCAAAGCAGAAGTGGGGCTACACAGGCTCTCTGGGCCCTGGCGGGCTGGGCTGGTTGGGCGCAGTTTTAGGAGGATGAGGGGGAGCTGTGAATTTCGGAGACAGCTGCTGGCCCGGGATGGAGGGAAGCGGACAGGCCCGGAGATGCGACGTTCAGGGCCGTGGGCTGGACCTGAGTGTCCTTAGCTGGGCTTTCCCCACGGGGACAGTCCGGAGAGGGGAGATGCTGGCTTTAGGCACGGGGATGCCGGGCAGTTCTCAGAGACTTGGCCGTGGCCCCAGGCCTGGAGCCTAGAGAAGCAGATGGTGCACATCCGACCAGGGGAGACGTGGACCACATGCGGACCACACGCGGACCACATGGACCACACGGCTCCTGGCCGTCCGCTGGCTCTGTCAGGTCCTCCCGCCACCCTGTGCCCCAGGACTCAGGCACCGTGTGCTGTGTGGACATCCCCGCAGCGGCCTCCTCCTGACCTATTCCTTCCTTGCCTCTCGGCCCTGGACGGCCGTGTTCCCGAACACGCAGGCGTGTGCAGGCCACTCCTCCACATGCCTGGGAACCCCGGGTTCCTGCCACCCTCACAGTGGGACACCCACGCCGTGGCTCGCTCTCAGCCCATCACACTTGGACCCTCAGCCCCGCACCCGCTCAGCTGCTGACTGTCCCCTACTGGGCTCCTCGACTTCCAGGACAAGTTAGGTGTCCCCCTGAGAGTTGGCACTTTCGCCACTCTCCCGGGTCACAGTGGCTCCCGCCCATGTGGCGCTGCCTTTCCCCTTCCCCCGCCGTGCCATGAGCTCCCCTGGAGGCACTGTCCCGCTCTCCCGCCTGTGTGCACACCTGCACCAAGCCTGGGTTGGGGCCAGAGCCCAGGACCCCAGTGTATGAATCAGGGGGACTCAGTGGTGGCCATAGCTGGAAGGGAAAGTGGAGGGAATTAATTCCTGACGGGCAAGACCCCAGCAAGGAGTCACTGTTGTGGCCGGCGGGGGCCGTGCGTGGCCTCCTGAGCAGCGGTCATCCCCCCCCCCCCCCCCCCTCCCAGGTCTGTTATGACAGCCCCCCTGGACTGCCCCACCATCGCCTCCTGCGAAGGTGACCGGGCCCCTCCACGCTCCCCTGTACAGCAGGTGGGCCAGCCTGTGCCTCAGGCAGCCTCCTCACTGCACCCCTGCCCCCGGCACTGCTGCGTGGACCAGGCCCGTTCTAGACGTTTGGATGCCCAAACCGGCCCACAGACACGCTGCTTTGCAAGAAGTCCCCTGGCCTCAGGATCTCGTGAGCGTGAGGAGAAGATGCATTTTTCTTAAACAGCAGAGTCCCGTGAGCACCGTCAAATTTAATCCCTGATCCGGAAGCAGGGCGTCACGCCCCTGTCTGATTGTAGGAGGCCTCTTCCCAGCTGTTACCATCTGGAGTGTGGGAAGCACCCATCAGGAGGCCTTAGGGAGAACGTAGGTGTTTCGTTATAACTTTCGTGTCTCGGGTCGTGTGTCAGATATGTGTGTGTAAGACAGACAGAGACGGGGACAGAGGGGGAGGCTGGGGCTCTCCCTGAACACTTAGTGGCCTCAGCTCCGGAGCCCAGCGTCCGTCCTCAGGGAGGAGGGTGGCCCGCAGGGAGCACCAGAGCTGTTGGGAAGAGCAGAGACGTTCCTGAGTTTTTCTGGCTGAGCCTCCGGATAGCTCATCCTCTTAGGCTGAAACTTTAAAACGGTTTAGACAGGTTTGTGCCCCTGTTTCCTACTGGGTTCCCCTGTTGTGTGTTCCCTGTGAGGTGTAAGAGGCCAGGCCACCGTCCTTACACGTTAACGTGCTCATTCCTACAAGGAAGCGCTTCGTGTCTGAGCCCTGACGCCTTTGGCCTCAAGCCATCTGGGACTAAGAAACCCTCGGAGGCAAGAGGAGAGGCCGTGGCTCTGGGCGCCTGTGGAAGGCCCTCGTGGAATGCCACGTGTGGCCTCAGCAAGTTACCCGAAACCTGTGAGGGTGGCAGAGATCAGGGCATGCTGAGGTGACCTCCTCCTCTGGCCGAGTCAGGCTCCTGCAGAGAGCAGCCTGGGGACGAGGGGTGTGGAGGGGCAGAGAGGCCTTCCCTCCTGGGGCCTGCAGGGGTAGTGCGTGGAGGATTTGTCTCCGCCCACGCTCAAGGCCCCCCAGACACGCCCCGCCCAAGCTCCGTGTGAGCCCACCCAGGGCGCCAGGGCTCCAAGGCTTCGAGCCCCCGGCCCCCGGCAGGTGCGCTCTGGGAGAGCCCCCCCCACCACATGCCTGTACCCCTTGACAGGGAGCTCCCGCTTCGGTCTCACGCCCCAGCCGTGTGGCGCAAAGGTGACCTGTAACCCGTCGGTCCGTGCGAGCACATGAGCACGCAGGGCGCCGTGCACACACTGTCCCGCCGGCCCGATGGAGCGCACCGTTCACAAGCGTGGGGCGCGCTGGGCTGCCGTGGCTCTCGGTCTCGCGGGGCCACGACACGGCTGTTAAAGGCGGTGTCCTGTACGTCGGGTCTTTCAGCCGAGAGTGGACAGAGTAGCGGGCAGTTCCAAGGGCGGCCGTCGGAAGTCTGGTCGCAGTGGCAAAGCCAGCACCACGGTCAGCAGAGCGGTGAGCAGCATCCCCACCAGCAGCCCGGTCAGACCGAAGTGTTCCAGGTAAATCGAGCCAGCACAGCCTTCTCGTAGGTACCGGCGCCTTCTCTCTGCTTCCTTTCCCCTCGCTCTCTGCTGCAGCCCCTACTGGTCCTTAGGGGTCCGGGTCCTGGCCCAGCCTGGGGGGAGGGGCCGGGAGCTGAGGCCTCAGCTGTCCTCGCTGCTTGAGGACACCTGGGCCCCTCATAGCGGTCGTTGTTGGAGACCCTCCGGCCATCCCTTGTGATGGCAGCCCTGGCCTAGCTGTGCAGCTGGAGGGGACCCTGTGACAGCCCCTCAAGGCAGTGCTTGGGCCCCACGGGGTTTTCCTGGCCCCACCTTCAGCCAGAAGTTACCCCTGGAGGAAGGTTCCAGAGGGAGGCCTGAGCCTGTCAATGACCCCTGAGCCAAGGGCTTGGCCTGTCCCACCAGCCTGTGTGAGGAGCTCCTCCCCTAGAGCCGAGGCACCACCATCCCTGTCACCGTCACGCCCAGAGCTCCAGGTCTGCCCAGCAAAGCATGGATGGGCAGGAAGCTCATGGAGGGAGGGATCGGAGGCCCCCCAGTTGGTAACCCCACCTTCCCAAGGAAGGGTCCACTCTCCTTGTCCCTAGCACCTGTCCCACCCAGCCAAGCAACATCTTCGCAGACAAAGGTCTAGAACCCAGAGGTCCCTCTCGATCTCCAGAGGGACAGCATTCTGACCTCCGTCCTCCGTCCTTACGCCTCACAGCCACGTGTAAGGCAGAATTCCCCAGCCAGATTGTTCATGGTCACGAGGCTAAAAAGAATTCTTGGTCAGATAAATTCGTGAAACACTGGCTGAGCAAATTATTCAGGTTCTTGCCTGCGGTCCTTATCAGAGCCTTTAGTATATGAATAAGCACTGAGGATTTTTAGGAGGTAGGCAGAGTGCCATTTCCCAAACTCCCTCTGCCACCAAATTCTTTTCTCCAAGAGTATCTCATGGGCCAGAATCTGACAGAACACACTTTGAGAAATTTGCCAGAGGGGATTGAAGTAGTGCTATTCCCATTCTCTAGATGGGCAGTCTGAGGCCCACAGAACCTGAGGGGCTTGTTGAAAATGAAGCCCGACCACACAGGCATACGGCTGTGCCCTCACAATGCGCACGAGCCTGGCCTGAGTTTATGTTGCATTTTGAGCATCGGCCATGGGTCCCTTGCTGGGTGCCCGGCCAGATTCACCACCTGGCGGGGTCCCTGTCCACTGTGTCCTGGCTCAGCCTCACACGGACACGGGTTATGCCCTGAGGTTGTGCTGAGCTGCTGAGACACCAATCCCGGGGGAGAGCAGCTTCCCGCCTCTGGGCATTTGAGGACCCCAGAGAGTGTCCCCCAGACAGCTGGAGCCCATCGCGGGGCTGCCCCCTGGGCAGGGGGATGGATGAGCACGAGGGTGAGTCGCAGGCTGGGCTCCTGGGGCGTGCAAGTGCCCGGGATGATGAGCTGACCCCCGCGGCTTTCTTCTCTGCCCTCCCGCAGGACATGCTACCCATGCCCGGAGATCCGACCCAGGGGACCGGCAACTATAACATCGAAGACTTCGCGGACCTGGGCATGTTCCCGCCGTTTTCTGAGTAGCGGCAGGCAGAGCGCGGCCAGCGCTGGGCCGAGCCCCGTGCGCGATGCCGGCGCCCCCCATGTTGGCGGGGTCCCCCCACACCCTGTTTGCCCCGCTGCGGGACCCCCCAGCAGAAGGCATCTCACCCCCCCGCCACCCCTGGCACAGTATTGCTCAGGCCACAGCCAGGGATGCCCAGCCACCCACCGGGAGCCCTGGTAGACATGCGGGGGCCGTTGTATTTATTGTACTTTCTCTGTGTATGTTTGGGAGGTGAGTCTGCTGGCTCTCGAGGTCTGGTTGTGAATAATGTCGTAGTCGACCGTGTTCACCTGGAAGACGTCCAGTCACAATCCCGAGTGCCCAGGCCTGCCCAGGACACGGGAATCAGGTTTCTTCTTGCCTTCGACATCTGTGGACAGGTGGGGCTTGGGCGCTGGAAGGGGGGTGAGCAGGACGCGTGGCCTTTGTTCTCCGAACTAGGACCCAGAGGAGACCCCACTCCCCCATCCCCAGCTCAGCCAAGTCTGTGTGTGCATCTGTCCGTCTGTCCCTCGTGCTGTGGGGTGTGTGTGCTCTGTGCAGTGTGACGTGAATCCCTGTCCCAGTGGGTGTGCTGTGCCCCGTGTGTGTCATGTGGCCAGAGTAAGCAGCCAGGATCCAGGGTGCGTCATGGCTGAGGGCCCGCACAGACAGCCCTTGCCTCCAGCTCAGCAGCGCCCCGGCCGGACTGCGCTTGGCCCGCGGTCTGGGCGCCGGGCTGGTGGGCTGCGCAGAGCAGGCTGGCATTTCGGTGTCACCGAGTCCTGGCTGGGAACGTGCTTGTTTTAATGGGTCCACTCCCGCGTCCAGGCGCCCCTCTAAGAGGATGCGGCCACCTCCTCTCCCAGGAGGCCCTGAGGGAGTGCGGGCCCTTCCCGCTTACTGTGGGTGTCCCCCTCCCGGGTTGCAGCCCGCGCCCGCCGAGGGCCCACCTTGAGGTCACAGAGCCCGAGGGAAGGCAGGATGTCCAGGCCTCCCCGTCCTTCTGAGCCTCCTCCCCCAGCGCCCGCCGTGGCAGCCACAGCACTCTCGGCTACCCCGGACAGGTTCGGACGTGGACTCCTGTGCAGAGACAGGCTCTTAGAAACGCCTCCCGCTGTGCCGCTGGGGACGGTGGCGCCTTGTGGGGGCTGAGTGCAGGTCTGTGAGGCACAAGGCCGGGCTTCGTGGTCCGATTCTGGTACACACTCCCCGGGGCCTTGCATTGTCCAGGTGGTCTCAAGACAGAAGGAAGAGTGACTCTAGAAGCTTCTGCCCGGCTGAGCCCATGGTCCCTGGCTTGCTGTGTTTCCCGGTACTCAGTGACCTCATGTCCCCCTTGTGCCATGCACTGAGGCGGGCTCCCAGTCTCTCGTCTCTGACTTTCCTGACAGCCACGCTTCCGTTTGTCCTCCCCATCCGTGGGCTCGCAGACTCCCGTGTGGGACGGAAGCCACGCTTGCCCTGGGCAGGTGGTGGTGTCCTCCTCCCAGGAAGTCCCTGCATCCCTCCTAGGGCCCTCCAGGCAGACCTTCTCAGGCACTGGCTCAGAAATACCCCACCCTGGGATTTCGGAGGACCCTGTGGAGTGCGGGGGCTTCTGAGCTGCCTGAGAGCAGAGTGAGCCCAGCCTGCGGAAAGGAGCGGGGTCAGGGGTTGCACGAGCCTCTGCTTTGCTGTGCATTAAGCGCCGGCCCCGTGGGAGTCCAGAGGGGACCTCTGTGCCCTGTCTCGCTGGGGGGCTCCACCGGCAGAAGGCCGGCGTTGTGCAGTGGTCAGCTGTGGCCAGGAGTCGGCTGCAGGTGCTCCCAGCTCCAAGAAAGAGTCCACACGGGCTGAACCGTTCCCAGAGCGGCTCTTAGACCTTCACGCACAGCGGTGATTGGGTCCTGGGTTTAAGGTCCTTTTCCCCCCAGGACTTGGGTGGAGCCAACCCCATGCACCACAACAGTGCCAGAGCCAGAGGGGTTCCCCTGTGTGGGCCCCGCCCTTGGGGTCCCCTCCGCCCCCACAGCCTGAGCCAACCCCAGGCAGGGGCACGACCATTTCCAAGAAAGGCACAGAAATCACTTTCAGATCAAAGAACGGTTTCTCCGTGAAACGAAAACAGACTTTCTGTGGCCTTTCACCTGTGAGTTTGGAAGTTTTGGGCTTTCATGTTCGTTTTTTCATTTCCCGGAGAGAACTAGGGGTTTCCTGAGAGGTGCCCCTCAGCCTGACGCTGTGACCTGGGCTGTGCTGGACACCGAGGGGGTGTGGGCGGGGCGGGAGAGCCTGGTCCCCAACAGCCCTGCAGCCACTTCTGTCTGTCCCTGAAGGCTCGGTCCTGGAAGGCGGGGACCGCCGGTGACCGTAGGCCGGGCATGATGGGGAATGTCGTGACTGGGCGGCCCGGCCTCCTGGGCTCCCAGCCCTGTCCCAGGAGCGCCCCGCAGGGAAGCCGATGGCAGTCCGACCGGCTGGTGTGAGCGCTCTTTCCTCTCCACTCCCCACCCCGCTCCTTGCTTGTGATTCCTGGAAGCCATCCCGTGGCCAGTACAGAAACAGGACTGGGAGGATCTCTGACCCAAGAGATGTCCCCTTGAGGAATCTTGTGACGGACCAGAAGAAGAGTTCGAGCTGCTGAGGGTCTCATCCTGGTTTGGAGGAGAGCGCCCCGTGCCAGGCCAGGGCAGCCAAGAGGGGACCGTGCGTGGACCCAGCTGTTGGTACGTCCTCCAGCCAGGCCCAGCCCAGACTCCTGTCCCGCCGGAGACGCAGCCCAGCTGGGCTGGGACTCACTCCCTCACTCATGCCTGCTCTCCTTGAGCCCAGAGGGTGGGCCTTCCACAGAACAGGCCGGGACTGCGGTGGCCTGGGCCCGGGGCGAGGACACAAAGCAGCCATTTTGAGGCTCACCCGAGACTTGACTAGTGACGGTGGCCATGGGCAAGGAGGTTCTAGAACATTCTACCTATATGTCCCTCCCACGAGTTTTGTCTTTAGCTGCGGTTTCAGGGAGTGACGGTGCCATCACCAACGGCCGCATTCTCCTCGGCTTCCCGAGACATGCAACGCACCCCTACACTGTTGCACGTGTCCGTTACAGAGGGGGAGCTGCCGAGAGTTGAGGGAACGTCCTTCGGGGGCTCGGACCTCTCAGCCAGTGAAGAGACCGTGTCTCCCCCAGATTAGCCACATGTGACCGGGACCTCCCATCCCTGTCCGCTAGCCTTTGCCAAGTGACGGGACAACCCCGGGGAAATGAGCCGTGGTCTCATCCTCGTACGCCAGCCCCTGGGAGCAGCCGAGCTCTGCCCGGCCCATGGGCTCCCTGCCAGTATGACCTGTCATGTAGCCAGACCGACCAAAGTGCTGGTGGGTCACGAGTCAGGGTACAAGTGGCCTTGGTTGTACCAGAAACCCTGAGTCTGGTCGTTCCTTGCCAGGGGTCCCTTCCCTCCTCCCTCCACCAGATCCTCGTGGGGCGTGCTAAGGGGTCACTCTACCTTTCCCTCAGCTGCCCGGGGCCCGACACAACTCAGAGAGGCACCCCACCGGGCTGCAGGCCACTGTTCGCCTAGAGATGTGCCTGGGTCTGGTGGCCAAAGCTGGTGTTGTGGTCCAGCAGCCCCCCCAAAGCCTGCATGGGGCCACCCACTGGGGAGGGGCCAGGCTGGCCGGATGTGGGGCGACTGGCTCCCCGGGACAGCCTTGTTCTTTGGCAAGGACGGGCTTCCGTGGACTCTGTAAGCACGCCGTCATTTCCCTTGTAGCCTTTCTCGTATGGCTGTGAGCTGTGCTGTGGATACATCCTCCTGTGTATTTCTGGAATGTTCTCTCGGACTAACGGTTATTGAGTTGGTTGTGTATATGTGTAACTAATGTAACTGCCTTTTCAGATTTCATCACAATAAAGATGACTTTGTTCTGAACAGTGAACCGCGCAGCCAGCGTTGTGACTGAGCAGTCTGGGGAGACTTCTCCTGGACTTGGGGGTGTGTCTGGCTTCATGCCTCTCGCTCCTGCTGAGGGCTCTGCTCTGTCTCTCACTGCCAGTCAGGAACAGAGAGGCCCTGGGCACTAACGAGGGGCCCTTCCAGGGGTCTGGCTACATAGGAGAGAAAGGTGCTTGCCCTTATCGACAGGCACAGCTCTCCAGGAGGCTCTGTGCTGCTCTGTGACTCGTGACAGACCTGGGCTACGTGCTTGTCAGTCCCAGTTCCTACATTATGAACCCGGACTCGAAAAGTGCAGGGACTACCTGAGAACAGGCAGGAAGGGAGTGGCAGGACCAGGATTTGATCTCAGCCCTCACTCCAAACCCTGTATCTGCTGTCTTCTTCAAACGCTCTTTTTATTTTTTTTTAATTTTTTTAAAAATTCTCCATACGTTAGTATTTTAATATGCTCATGCCTCTAGGAAATACTTACAAATTCTAACCTTTCTCTGTGGAGAGATGACTATTTGGGGTCTAGCAAAATGCCAGAGTGAAATCATTTAAACGCTTTCCCACTAAATGTCTACCAGTCCTATTTTTTTTTACAGCTTTGTTGAGCTATGATTGATATAAAATATGATGCATGTATTTAAAGCATACATGGGAGAAAATTCTGTGACCTTGAGTGAGGCTTAGATTTCTTAGATAAGCCACCCAAAGCATGATCTGTAGAAGAATAAAATTATAAATTGGACTTTGTAAAAAAATTCAAACCTTTGCTCTTTAAGGACACGGTTAGCAGGATGGAAAGATCCCCCATTGACTGGGAGGAAATGTTGGTGAGCCATCTATTTGGCAAAGGACTTGTATCCAAAATACGTAAAGAACGCTTCAACTCAATAAACAAGTCACACAAAGCAGGCAAAAGATTTGGACAGATATTTCGCGGAAGAAGATACAAAGTGGGAAATAAACTCAGGAAAACATGGCTGGGGTCCTTCATCATCAGGGAAATGCACATTCTAATTCCATGAGCCTTTAGAATGTTCTAACATTTAAACAGACTGATGGCAGCAGATCTTGTCCAGCCTGTGGAGTGCCTAGACATCCCCACGTACGTGCTGGTGCCGCAGCAGTCCCTTTGCACAACAGCGAGGCAGCTTCTTAAAAAGTTAAGCACACATGTACCATATGACCTAGTCTTTCCACATCTCAGTGTTTATTTTCCCAGCGGAAATGGAAACGTGTTTCCCCACCAAAACCACAATGAGACCGCATATTGCAGCTGTGTCTGTAATCACCGAGAGGCAGAAACCCCCTAAAATGTCCATCAGAAGGTGAGTGGGGAAGTTGGGGTAGAACCACGCAATGAACATGACTCACAATGACGGGAACAGAGTGTGGATGTGAGCGACGATAAGAGCTCAAAAACATCGCACAGAGCAAAAGCGTCCAGGCACAAAGGTACGACCTGATTGCGCAGACGACATTTCGGGAAAGAACCAGCTAATCAGCAGGACGGGAAGCATGTCCGTGGTTCTGGGGCTGGAGGGGAGGAGGACGGAAGAGGGGATGGGGAGGTTCTAGATTTGATGGGCAGTCACAGAGGTGTATACAAATGATGTAAATCATCAAACTGTTCCCCGAAGAGGGACCCTTTAAGTTTTAATATGTTTAAATTCTACCTGAATTAAGTTGATATAAAAATAATCACAGGGAAGTTTTATTGTGCCATTTGATAAGATAATCCCAAATTTCCTATGGAAATAAAGAAAAACAATAGCCAATACATTTAATTGAATGAGATATTTAAAGAAGAGAAGGAGGAAGAGGAAGAAAAGGAGGAGAAAAATGGAGCATTTAGCCTTCTAGACCCCAGAAGCCTTGGGATGAAAAGTGTGGTTTTGGCGTGGGTCTGGAACCCTAGATCAGGGGAACATGGCAAAGAAACCAAGAGGACACACACAATCTGAAGTCAGATCGTCCTTTAGAGAGGAGAGGAGAGCCCACACCGCAGGTCACAGGGACCAGGCTACCCGTCAGTGGTGACAGGGAAATGGCAGAAACAAAACATTTGATCCTTATATCACCCAAGATGCAAAATGCAGTCTGCAGAAAAGACACCCCACCAAGGTGAGAATACCTGAACGTTGAAAAGTGGTACATTAGAACATTTAGGGAAAACAAAACTAGGAAACTATATTTATGGAACCAAATCCAGGATTTCTCACACCAGACCACAAAAACACTGAAAAAATGCCCAGCTTAAAAATATGTGAAAAGACAACCGGTGTGAACTGGCAGGAAGTGTTTGTGATTTATATTGTCTGTGCCCAACAGAGTAGTATCGGGACAAAGTACTCTGCGTATGTGAAGGGTTCATTAAAACCGATGAGAAAAATACAACCCGACAGACACCTGGCCACAGGGTCTCAGGTGTCTATTCATAAAACTCACCTGGCAGCAAACACATCAGGAGGGGCCGGACCTCCCTAGTAATCAGGGAAATGCAAAACTGAAACAAGATAACCACGTCCTCGGACCCACCCAGCTCTGATAAACAGTTGTTACTGAGGTTGCGTGGAAGCAGGGAGTCCTGCTGGTGGGAAGCGGGCAGGACACTCTGGCGAGTTAGGAGACATCCCAGCAGGTCAGGGATGTGCAGGACCCCTGCCTCAGGGACCCCCAGCTCCAAGCCCTGTCCCAGGAAGCGTCCTGCAGGAGCACGAGACGACAGTGGAAAGGGGATTCGTCGTGCCGCGCATAGCGGCGAAAAGCGAGAAACACGGAACCGTCCCTCAGTGGAGACAGGAATAAACTCATCTAGTTAAACACAGCGATACGCTGTGGCCCGGAAAGGGGTCTTGTTGCAGTGCGCAAAAGTTCTAAAACTGGGGCACTGAATTTAAAATACACTTTGTATTTTTGTAACTCAGCACAATCACCTATTTTGTGCATAAACAGATGAGTAGTTCGAGTCTGGAGAAGAGTCTCGTGGACCAACCGACAGGTACAACCCCGGACAGAGCGGCGAAGAGACGGTGTGACCAGAAGAGAAGGCCTGTACGGCTGAGTTTCTTCAAACGGATTAAGAAAGAAGGGGGTGGGTCGAAAGGAAAGGGCAGAAGAAAGGGATCTGAAGAACTAGGGCAACATGTCCAACAGTGGGTCTCATCTTGGTGCCGAGCAGAGAGGAGGGTGGGCGCAGCATGGCCCCTTCTCTCAGATCTGCCGTATTCTGGAAACAGCTGATAAGTGCCCCAAGTCAGTAAATGAGAAAGTAGCTATTCAGTCTCAGGGAAACACAAATCGAAAACCATCCTTCCAGAGCACCTGGGGGCTCAGTGGGTTAAGCCTCTGCCTTAGGCTCAGGTCAGGATCCCGAGGTCCTGGGATCAAGCCCTGCATCGGGCTCTCTGCTCAGCAGGGAGCTTGCTTCCCCCCACCTCTCTCTGCCTGCCCTTCTGCCTACTTGTGATCTCTGTCTGTCAAATAAATATATAAAATCTAAAAAAAAAAAAAAGTCCTTCCATTGAATGTCACACAGCATCACCTCCGTGTGCGAACACACGCAGAGCAATCCCACTTCGGGCCTGACGGTTGTGAGCCTGTTTCTCCCCCAGACTCTCCCCCGCGTGTTCTCAGACCACCTCCTGGCGGGGGGCTGGGGCTCCACAGGGAAGACGCACTGCACCCGTGGAAACCCCGTTCCCGGGGAGAGAGGTGGGCAGACAGAATATGACATTCCAGAATGTGCGAAGGGTTTGGGTATAGAGGACCCCCTCCCACACCAACACAGACAGGGAGCGGGAGTGGGGAGGCCCGGGGAGGGTGGACGGCCCTTATGGGTTTGGCCTCACCAACAGGCCCCGGCTGGGGCCCGTCAACCACACAGCCTTCCCCCAAGAGCCTAGCCTGGGGGCTCAGACGACACTTCACGGGTTCCCACCTCTAAGGCCCTGTCCCTTACAGACCCCGGAGCGTGTATGCCGCCCCTTGGCGGGACACCGGTGGGAAAGGACCAGAACACCACTCCCTCTGGTTATAGCCCAGCTCCCAGTTCTTCCCACAGATTTTGTGGCCGAGCCACACATGGGCCTGGAAAGCCAAGAGGGTGGCCAGGGGCTGGCGAGGGGGAAGCAGCAGGTGCACAGTGGCCGTCCGCCAGCACGAGAGCGGCCCTCCTCCACGAGGCTCCTTGGGAGCAGAACCCGTGTCCACTCCTGGGCCTCATGGAACCGCTGGCCCCGGAATGGCCATCACGTTCTCCCCATGGCCATGTCTGGGCTAGGCAGAGCCACAGAGCCATAGTGGGGGCCGGTCAGCCCGGCAACGATCAAGATCTCAGCTCGCAGGGGCCGGTGGAGGTGCGGGGTGGGGGATCTGCCCAGGTGGGGTGGCACCTGCAGGCCTGTGGCTCCTGCACAGACAAGAGGGAGGGCAGCCGAGAGTCGGGGGAATCACAGCTGGTGGCCACCGACTGAGCCCCAGGCAGACGGCCCGTCTGGGGCCATGTAGACAAGGACCGCGGTCAGCAGGAATGGGACACGAGTGCCTCCCCTCTGGGACCATGGAGCATGGCCCTGTTTATCGCTGGAAACATCCAGGGGACTGTTTTCCCTTCCATGTGAGTGAGGCAGGGAGGCCGTATGAGGGGAGGCGGGCGTTTGACCCGAGCCAGGCTCTGAAGGCGGCCTAGGGAGGGACGTCCTGGGAAGGCTGGGACACCCAGGCATGGAGGCCCTCCCTGTAGCCTGACAAGAGAGGCCACACCTGGGATGGAAAATCTGAAGGCAAGAAGCAATGGGGGAAACAGGTCAGGCTGTGGCCCAGGCCCGAATAGGGACGCTGGTCCCCAGTGTGTCCTGGACCCAAGGACTCCAGGCCCCAGGAGGTCCTGAGCACAGGGCACAGGCCAGGGTGGGGAGAACACAGCCCCCATGAGGAGACCACGGACGGCCAGCGGGGGACAAGCTGCTGGGGGACCTGCTGTCT